TAGCTGCAATAGTTGCTGATTTAGACCCCCTTGTCTGAAAGGTAGTCAATCCGTGTGTGTGCAACATTGGACAAAATGCCATTTTTGGGGTCCAATAAAATTGAAACTAATTGATAAAAATGGCTAATACAATGAGATCCTGTACAGTTTTTGGTGCTGATTCTGATAAAATTACTTTTAACATTACTACTGAGTAAAGAAGGCACAGTGCCTCGTATGAAGAAATTAAACCATTAATGCATTATAAGTGTGGTTTGTTGCATATTAACAATCCAATGTACAAAAACTGAGGTTATCTACTAATCTTCTTATTAACAATGATTTTTTTATTATTAAGTGACCTGTGACCAAACTAGCTACTAAGAAACCTACCAACCAACGACTGGAAAACCTACTGACCAACGAGTGGCATGTGGATTTTCAACAACCAGATGACCCCTGAGGTACTATTACAACGACTCTTATGCCACACTATGAAACCTGGAGAAATTCGGTCTTTTCATTCTCATAATTTTCAAAATGGATTCAAGTTCACAATTGTGCGTTTGAAGGCTGCATTTGATAGGAAACAATCTATATTAATGCCTGGTAAAATATTCGCAGCATATGTAAAATAGAAGAAATAATACTCAACAAAAAATAAAACTAAATAATACTCAACAAAATTAAGGGCAAATATCATTTGCACCCAAGGTTGTAGCATGACACGACAACCCGTGGCGATTAGGGGTCAACACACACAGCAAAGAAAAATACTTTCTTTTTTATTCATTTGCAAATTCCAGTATTTTCCATAATCTGAAATGAAATTCCAGTACTTTTTAGGCCTGGAAAATGAAAAATTAAATTTCAGGATTTTCCAGATTTTCCAGGATCGGTACGCACCCTGTTTATGTGTCTAAAACCGTCTCTTAACTTAACCATCGATTAATTTTTTACCACTTGAAATCAGCAAATACAACTTACAAGTATACTGAAAGGATTCCTAATATATTCACAGACGTATTTAAAAGTCTCAAACCATAATATTTTTTCTACACAAACAGTTTATCACTATTTGGTACAGCAAGGTCAACTATCAAGTCAACTTAAACACATTTTTTGATGTTCTCACTGAGTGATGCGCACTGCCTCTCTTTGGATCAGTGTGGAAATCCAGAGGGGTAATATATTAACTGGTAAACATAGCAAATCGGAAAGCAGGACTCAAAAATCTGGAACGTCCAGCAAACCTCCACTTTCAGTCCATCATCATCACTGATGAGTCTCTGCGAGATGCCACAGCTGTTTCATTGAAAAAACAGTGCTTGCATCATCACAGTAACAAGAATTCAATCAACGCTTGAACGCGCCCAATGTAACAGTCACAAGAATCCAATCAACGCTTGAACGCGTCCAACGTACTGTCACAGGGATCCAATCATTGCTAGAACGTGTGCAACGCCACAGCCACTGGAATCCAATCAGCGATAGAAAGCTAGAAGGGACCGCCTCAAATGCACACAATGTTAAGGGGACCGTCTAACCCAAAAATCGAAATTACCATATATAAGACTCTGTAGAGTCTGAAACATAAAGAAAAAACATAAATAGGCTGTCAAACATAAAATATGTTATATATGGTAATTTTATATTAACTTCCAAGCTGGTCTATGTTACCCCGTCAGGGCTGACATTAGGTGGTCTAAGTTACCCCATTTGCAAACTATGGGGGCAGTGCCCCCCATTTGCAAACTATGACACTTTCCTAAATTTTGTCATTTGCATATGTAACTAGAAGAGTTCTACTACAGTGCATCAAAACCTGGAGTTATTTAACCAACAAATAAAAAAATTGGAGGGGGTACGCTGACAGGCTTTTAATAATAGCTTTTTTTTTGTGGGTCACATTTTTAATTTTTTAACCTATTAGATATGCAACATTTTTAATTTTTTAACCTATTAGATATGCAAACTTTTTAAATCTTTCTATTGTGTTATGTAGCCTCAGTATTAGGCCTTTAATGCCCATTGACCAAATTTTTCTATGTCAAATAGTTTTTGAGTTGTGGGGGTTTTTGTTAAAAAAATGAAAAGTGGTCTAAGTTACCCCACCGGTCTAAGTTACCCCATTTTACGATAGTGTAGTTATGTCATTATTGATGGAAATCGCAAAGAATAACATCTTCACTATGTACACTCACTCACAAATACATGAAAAACTGCCTATGATTCAATCCACAAATACAAAACTGACCACCGACGCAAGCAGCTGAGACATACAATCTCCTTTCGTTGTGATCAGCCAAACAAAAAAACATAAACAAAGAAGGTAGCAGGGATACCAACTGCACCGGCAGCCAATGTGAAACCGACATCAATATAGTCATGTGAAAAAATGAAAGATACGAATTCTTCTATATTAAAAATTCATCAGTAACTGACATTCAGCAGAAATCAGAATGGTTTAATAATCTTCGTAAATATTATACATGCATGCAGAATCAATCGTGTGCAACAGTGGCGGGAATGTAATGATGGTTAGTGTAGTGGTTAGTTCTCATTAAGCAATCGGTGGGTAAGGTAACTACAGAACATTACTGCAGATAAAGCTCCTAAACTTCAAGATGATAAATGAGTGAAAACTTTACGTGATATATTGTGAGCCTTCAAGAAATCACAAGGTTCACAGAATCTAAAGGTTTGAATGCTAAATTTTTTACTTTCGAGTACTCTATTGACTATCAAGTCTATTCTAGTCAGTCAACTGTGAAGTGTCATGTTGTTTGTTGTGCATTGCCTTTTCTTCGAGAAGTTTCTCCAACTGCCGATGAGTTTCTCCACAATTTGAAAGCTGAGGTAATGAATAGGTGCCATAAATGTTTTTATATTTAATTTGAAACTATTATGTTGGGAGTAAATAGTATTTCCTTCTGTAGATCCATCCCTCTTGCTCATCTGTGAGTGACGCGCGCAATTAACAATCTTGCATGGGACCTTCCCTGTGTTGCCTGACTTGACGTTCATACGATCATAGGCATAGCTACTGCAACCGAAGCCAATTTCTGACGGCCTGCAAACCTGTTTCTATTTGCCTGGAATGTTTTTTTAAGGCGGAACGCTTTTTTTATCATTTTTATGTGAACCACAAATTTTAGAATTCCAGCCTGCTTTGGATCTAAACATTTTCCCGCCAAACGGCCCAGACCTAGTGTTTTGGCAATAGTATAGCGCGCAAAAGTATGACTTCACTATTTCAAGTATTTTCAACAATCAACAAATGCATGGAACTAAGAAAAAGCTTAATATAAAGGAAAAAGTCAAGAAGTGTTGGAATTACCCACAATGTCGGGGTAAACCTAGGGTAAACGCGGTATATTCCGACACATTAAGGACGCATCGAGAAATGAAAAACTATAAAAAAAACGTATGCGTTACGTAAGTTCTGATGGCTTCACGTGACTCTCAAAACACCTCACTACGCGTCAGCAATGATGAAACGTCACAAAATGTTGCCATATTTATTAAAAAGCCTTTAGAATGGAAACCTACCAAATCCCTATATTCCGTCACTGTGTGTGGCAATATTCGACACGTGGTGAGTCGTATTGCGTCAGCGCTTCAAATTCAACTGATACGTAATGCCAACATCCACGTGTTTGAATTCCGTTTGCTGTGTGAGCTGTATTGGGATACAACACGGCTTTGAATTAGAACACTAACGAATATTGAACACTACTCAATAACGTTTTAATTAACAGCTATTAGGCTTTTAATTAAGCAAATTTCAATTTTTGTACAAAGCTTGGAACGATCTGTGTGTGCCCAATTCAAGTTGTGTCGGAGTTAGTTTTCATGTGTCTAAATCCATTTCTCAACTTAATCATCTATTAATTTATTTACGACTTGAAATCAGCGAATACAAGTATACTTAAAGGATTCCTAATATATTCACAGACATGGTGGCAATCCATAGGTTATTCAAAAGAACCTGTTCTTTTGTCATTTTGAACCGATCAACGCTTTTTTACGGACCGATCGTAAAACACACCTTCTGTGACCTTCACCGGCAAAAGCTTTTGCACTTCTGAAGAAAGTCAGCTGACAGCTACACTGGCCGTGGACTTGCAAACGCATAAGTACTCACAATAATTCCCTGCCACCATGTTCACAGACGTATTTAAAAGTCTCAAACCATAATATTCTTCCTATAAAAACAGTTATTCACTATTTGGTAGACCGTAGAGCAAGGTCAACTGTCAAATTTGACACATTTTTCGATGATCTCACCAGGTGCAGGTGGCATGCATTGTCTCTCTTTGGATCTCAATATTTTCCCACTAGATGGCCAAGACCTAGTGTTTTGGCAGTATTTTGATGTGCAAATGTATGACGTCACCATTTCAACCATCAACAAACGCATGGAACTAAAACAAAGCTTAATATAAAGGAAAAGCTGGAGAGGTGACGGAATTACCCACAATGTCGGAATATACCGCGTTTACCCTAGTTGATGAATTGAAGAATTTGAGATGAATTTGAATTGATTAAACTTCAATTATATGAATTAGAACTTGAATGTAAAATATTGCATGCAGCCCTTAATATAAATTTTAAATTCTGCCTTGTATAGGAATTTTAGCAGTGGAGCTCTCAGCTCTGTAAGGTTATTTTATTTTGAAGATGTTTGAGCTAACTAATGTTCATGAACTATTAGGCCTAATGCTCAAACCTTGTTCGCATGCCTTTGAAGCTGAAGGCTTTGACATATATTCATAAACAATAAACCATCCAAAAAATCTGACATATATTCATAAACAATAAACCATCCAAAAAATCCCAACTCGTACACCCTATTATCCTAATCCAGCAAAGGAGTAACTACAAACCAATTAAATCGCCAGCTAATTCAATAACCACCTTAGTACGATAACCACCTTAGCTATACTCACTACTGACTAGGACTCAACTTCAACGTCTTGTTGCTGTTGGTCAAACTGAGATTCTAAAGTCAAACTTACCGTATATGAGATTTGAATGAGCAGACAAAATGTTTCGGAGATTATTTTTTGTGTCTGTAGGTCCCAAGACGGAATAAATATCAATTCTTTATTAGATTTAAATAACAGTACCGTACACACGCTTCAGGATACACACTTTGACTTGGCTCGGCAGCTCTTTTTAGGCATACGAGCAACGGGCGAGCGCACACATCAACACAGCTAGGTAGGTGCAAAAAACGCAACTAAACACAGTTCAATGACAATCAAGTATTCCTTGGGTAAGTCAGTAAGATATTTCTAGAGGCTACATTTCTAAAAAGTTTGAAATACTTTATAAGATAGTAAAATTAAGTAGACCAGAGACTTATTTAATTAGGAAATTGCATATTATACATTTTCGTTTCATTTACGCAGTTGGACGTGGATTTTTTTTTTCAATTGCATGCGGGGTATTATTGCAGATTAACTACATCCAAAAAAAAGGGTGTTTTTTTTTTAATTATATGTTTTTTGGGGTGTAGATTACGAATCTGAAATCCATTTTTGGCGGTCGGCATCGGAAAACCGATTTTTTTCGCGACTTACTAACATGGGGGTTACGTAACTTACGTTACCCACTCACCTTTATTTACTAACATGGGGGTTACGAGTCGGAAAAAAATCGGTTTTCCGATGCCGACCGCCAAAAATGGATTTCAGATTCGTAATCTACACCCCAAAAAACATATAATTAAAAAAAAACACCCTTTTTTTTGGATGTAGTTAATCTGCAATAATACCGCATGCGGCAACAACCCTTCATAACATTTTTGAGTGCACTACATAAAGAAATCATAACCCCGACAATTCCGAACATCTTAAGGGGATCGTCTGGGCCCAGGAAAAACTTCTACATTTATTAACCAATCTTCCTGAAATTTCACAAACATACGAAACTTGTAAAATAAAAAATAATTTGCTTGTATGAATTTTTCGGAAAAAATGGAAGAAAACGAGAAATTAATAGAAAACCTCAAAATAGGGGGTAGTCTAAAAAAGTTTCTAACTTTAGCAAATCACAAGCTACAATGTCGAGACACATATCATTCGATTTGTAACAACATTATCTAGCGACTCTAGAGGTCCGATTTTTCATTTTTTTCATCGTTTTTCTTTTATGTGCGTTTTTCTCAATTTTTACACATTTTCCCCCCTTCCTCCACCCCTCCCACATATATAAGTCAAACCATGCTCGAATTCGAAAAAAGGGCTTCCAGAGTTGCTAGGTATGGTCTTTACGAATCGAATGGTATGTCTTTCATTGCTGTAACTTGAAAATTGTTGGAGTTAGTACATTTTTAAGATGTGTTTTTGGATTTTTAAAATTTTTCATGGAAGCCAATTTAAGTAAAATTCATCGAAAAAAGAAGAATATTTCAAAAAAAATTCTTGATATTGTAGCCCAAGCATTTCCATTGCCATTTATTTGCTTTCAGGGTACCAGCGCCCGTCTTTGGACTTATTCATGTCCAGTTTAACGTGAATAATAAGCTATAAATGGGACTTTTTATGTATATATGCATATATAAAATATTCATTTTACATGACTTTACAACGGCATTACGCAAAAATTATTGCATTTACATACATGGTAGTAGATTTGTTGAACGCGTCTTGTTTGTAGCTTTCAAACGAGTGCAAACACTTTGCAATTAACGCAAATAATGATCTAAAAATACTATTTTTAAATGGAAAATTTGTAAATATTGATATAAAATGGTCATTTTATAAAAGTTCGAAACAGCCTTGCGCCAAATCTATTGCATGTACATCCATTATAGTGTTTTTGTTTAACGCGCCTTGTTTGTGGCTGTCAAACGAGTGCAAACACTTTGCAATTAACAAGCATAGTGATCAATAAATTCAGATTTAACTTGAAGAAATTTTTGTACATATTGTTAAAAAATGTTCATTTTATATATTTTAAAAAAATCTAGAAAAAAACTAGAGCACGCACATGCATCCGGATTGCTGCGTTAGACGTGACTTTTCAGCAGCTACAAAATGAGCCAATAAAAAGGAAAAACCAAAATTTTCTATTTTTGACCCAGACGATTCCCTTAAGTGTCGATTGGGTTGTTGCAATGTTGCCTACATTGTTTAAATCTCCGTGCCCTCAGTGCATGCACACAAATTCAAATAAAAAAAGTTCGCATCGACCCTTTTTGACGGTAATTTGGTAAGAATTTGGGCAAAAATTTCTAATCGCTTTCAATTTCTACGTAAGCAACTCGTACTCGTCCGAGTCAATCGACCCTTACGGTATGTATGTAATTAACAGTAAAGTTTTTAAACGTCATTCCGCGTTGGGGGGGCTTAGTCGGATTTATAGAACGCTTTGTTTTACTTTAATGCAATAAAATCTTAGTCAACCAATAACTAACTCTGTCAAATAAAAACAAATTTCGAGTTTAATCAACATATAATTATTCTTTAAACATCTTGCTGTGATTAGCAATGTCAGGACAGTTTACTTTTTTCAACGTATAAACCATTAGCTCGAAATTTTGTTTAAACTTGGGCGATGTTTGAATCCTGGAAATTTCTGAAGTTTTTCTTTTTCAATGTTATAAAATAGGGTCATGGTATATCACGTCAATCCTGATGTAACACGAGATTCAATGACGCAAGCTTACACATTATTTAATTTAGTACACAACGTAATTAGCGATGTCTGCCAAAGAGCCCAACCTTCAACGCCGATTAGGGTACCTCTATAGCGGTTTCAGCGTTTAGTAGGCCGTAGGCCTATCGCCGATTCTTAGCATCGCAGAACATTCACAGCATTTTGCTGTCTCGAACTCACAACTCACTGCTACAATTCTGCTTTGCTTAACCGCCCGGCCTCCTTGCCGATTCTGACCAGAAACTGGCGCACAGAGCTGGGTTCGAGCCCGCGCCTCTCTGCTCCAATCTTGGTACTCTGAACCTGTAACCACTGGCCACCCCCACACTAGACGCTGACGCGACAAAAGTCACGAATATCAATGGCAATTGCCATTAATTCAATGTCAAGATTTATTGAGCAATTACACAGAAAAGGATTGGTCGTGCTAAAGCAAATCTTTCGGATAGGGCCAATACTCTATAAATGTATACACATGTGTACGATACTTTTATAACTGCGCATGGTGTCTGGACACTGGACAGTGGTTAATCCGATGCTTAGCCTAATCATTATTTCAGGTCCCGCGGCGGATCCAGATCTCATTTTGATCCCGTTGAACACTCGTGCCTGTCTTTCTTGCTCACATTGAGGCTATAATACGTAGGTCATGCGAGGATACCAGCGTTCCTTAAAACCGGCATTTTAATTATGTACTAGTAATTGAATAATGTATTTCGTTTTGTCTCATTTATTCCGTTATAAGGAAAAATAAGATTAAGACAACTACATGGATTTTTCATATCGAATATGTACTTTTGGTTCTTCATAAACATGCACCTGTTATGAACCTGCTGTTATTTTTTTAACAGGATATTGTTTCCTTCCATAAAATCAACCCCTAAAATCGGTGCGCTTTACTCCAATCCAATAATACAATAGACAACTGGACAATCAATAAATTTGGTTTAAATCATCATGATTAAAATTGACAAACATGAAAGAATGGACATGATGTCGACACCTTGGCCATTTAACATGTTGTCAGCGCAACATCGTGAGCTCATTTGTTGTCCTCAACGCTGAACGTTCGTCGTTTCATGAAAAAACACGTGCAATTTGTCAGCAAAACCTCATTTCTTGGTGGCGGCCTGAAGCAGTTTGAGTACCTCGGCCGCTTCATGTCTAGAAAAACAAGCATCGCCGCGTGTGGCTTGTTTCGATGCTGAGTCGAGTTTGTCGTAGACATCCCTGAGCCCTTTGGCCAGCAAGGCCACCTGGAGGTCTGCGTCGCGGGGCACGAAGTCCGAAAGCTCTTCAGGAGGATATTCTCTGGATCGCACGTCTGGCGCCTGCACGCCCATCTGCCGCAACACCATTTGTTCAGCTATACCTTAATGTATCAAGAGGCTCCTGCCGAGCATGGTTGAACTAGTATAAGGTTGACCCATGAGAAGCTCATTTTCGCGGATGGAGCTTGTTTTTCGCCTATGACGTCACTGATCTCAAAGACGTCACGGGCATTAACCAATCACCGAAATGCGTTCAAACCAGTCAACCAATCCGTCATGGGAATGACGGGTTTGTTTACGTTTCTCGATCTACGTAACGTAACAAGAATGCTGAACTGAAAGGCGGAACTTCTCGTTGGTCAACCTTATATAGTTCAACCATGCTGCCGAGACCCTATAGAGCAGTGGTTCTCAAACTTTTTCAGGCTGGCGCCCCCTTTGGCTCCCAAGTGAATCTCTAGCGCCCTCCCCCCTCCCGACAGACACATATAATAATATACGTTTAAAAATTACTTTTTTAAAGACAACACTTCCAAAGAATCCAGTATCTCCAATCTTACAGATGTACAATGAATTTCTCATCTAATTTTCGAAAATTAAAAAAATTACTTATTTAATCTTTTCTAATATATAAATTTTTTTAATGTATAAATTTTTTCCAAAATTATTTATTCTGTTAATTGATTCATGCATTGCCTCTGACTTCACACAAGTGTGCAAATTTTCAGATCAAGTAGACAGGTAAAAGTGTGTCAAATATCAGTTATAAGATTTGTAGCTGACAAAATTATTTTTTCAATTTTTTTAATACTATTGAAAAAATTTTTTTCAAATCTTTTATTTTGACATTTGATTCATGCATTGTCTCCAACTTTACACAAGTGTGCAAAATTTCAGATCGATGGGATAAGTAGAAGTGTGTTAAATTTTGATTATAAGATTTGTAGCAGACAGACAGACAAACAAACAAACAGACAAGAAGTGAAGTTAAAGAGAAGTGTTGTAAAAACAAACGCCTCTTTCGTAATATTTAGTACGCTGCAATTTTAAAAGAGAAAGGTTAAACACAATGTGTAATCCACAAATAGATCCCCATTTAGTATACCAATATATTTTTTACAGTTATAACTGTTTTAGCACTAGAAATTCAAGACGGCTCGGACAAATATACGACCGCTTTCTCGTGGCCGGTCTCGCAGCCGGTTTCAAGACCAATCTCTAAATTCAGTGACCAAGGAATATCTCCCAAACTAATGAACACAGCTAGATAAAACTTGTAAGTATTCATAATAAATACGTATTCATTAGGACCTAACGGTGATGTTAAGCTTTTGAATTTTTTTAGATTTTACCATCATTCAGGAGTTATATGGCGATATGGGCCGAAATTCACAGTGATCAAAGAATTTCTTCCAAACTACTGAACAGCTACGAACGAAATTTTTAATATAAATTCCTAACTACCAAATGGTGATTTCTAGCTCGTGAAAATTTATTCGAGTCGAGTCATGTTCTACACGTGTTGTGTACAAATCGTCAAACAAACGGACATTCTTCGACTTCGCGGATTACCGCCCCCAACTGCCCCTTTCTTCCTCACCGCCCCCTCCCCCCAGATCTTTCCACCGCTCCCACGGGGGCGATATCACCCACTTTGGGAACCACTGCCCTAGAGTGTCGTTTTTTTGGTGATCCTGTCAAAAATTTTGGAGCTAATTTTTTCTTGATTTTTGTAAGTGTTCAGCCTCATTTTAAGTCGGAGAAAATATATTTACTCTGCCATAAAGTCATTGCTAGAACCAAAAAAAAATAGAATCAAACTTGGTGTAGGGGAGGGACCCCTCTCGGTTTCTCATGATTTCTCGCGTGATTGTCACATCATTGTTTACATAGGTTCTATACAGTTTTAATTTTTAAAAATATTTCTTCTGTGTACTGGTATGACTGTTATATAAATGGAAGGCATAGAAAAAGATTAATCTTGTCATAAAGGAGGCAGTCGTATTTGTTTGAATGATTTAGTATAAAAACAACACTTTCATATTTAAATGAAAATTAAATGTATGAGGCTAAGAAAATAGATTGCTTTTCACTAAAGTGTTGTTTCAGGAGCTTGGAAAGCAATATAATTAATCTGACTTAAATTCCTCCAAGTAAATTGGCAAATAAATGGGGTCCCTACAGGACCCCTTTTTTCAGCATACTACGTTGTGAAACAACCTTGGCAAGTTAAGGTCCATTGTAATTGAAGGGTTACACTTTTAGTGCACATACGATATTAGGAAACTTTTTATTTGTAATAAGAGAGAGAGAGAGAGAGAGAGAGAGAGAGATAACGCAGATTTTAAAGATCATCATCTCTATATGCGAAATATTGTGATTAAATGAATTACAATCACACAATTAAGATTTAATTGAACACTACTTTCCCTACCGCTGACGGAACATCGCTCCTCCTGCCGATGCTTGGCATGATCTTGCCGCTGTTGCTGAAGAAGTTGGGCGTCGCCTCGCCGAAGACCAACACGCCCAGGCACCACAACATCAAATGCACCAGCGTATGTGAGGGCCTCATTCTCGATAGCTTCTTCTTCTTTTGCTTCTAAGTTAAGAACAAAAATATGAGTTAGCACAAAAAATTGGCAATTATTGTTGTAGTCCAATTAAGATTATTTGCACATATAAGCAAGCTTCGCACTCCAATCTTGCGTTGATTGGGTTTGAGACATATAGTGTTTGTACCGAAATTTCATAAAATCTAAGCAAAAAATTCTAACGAGCATGCAGAGCGTCATTTGTCCAACAATCCGAATTCCTCCGAACAAAACCCCCACCTAGCTGTCCCATTTAACGTCCATGCCTTTTCATTGAGACGCTGAGAACGTTTCACGTTCCGTCATAAGATACGAAAATGGTCTGAAGGTGAATTTTTGAAGGTAGATTTTAATTTAGTTTAATTTGTATCACCCTTATTCCACGAATTAATTACATACGTACTCCGCGAGAATCATTTAACTTCGTTTAGTTATTTCATTGTATACAAATAGAAACACTGTTGTTCTTCATTTGACGTCACAGTGCCACATCACTATTTCGTCAATCATAATAATTTTCAACACAGCTATACAGTATTTACATTAATATACCGTTAGTCTGCCTGAATCGCAAGTTTGCCTAAAATTTAAAAGCAAAAAAATGCCATGTACACCATACGCCAATTGAACCATATCTTCAGTGAAGACGTTTCGGAGACCTGATCGATCCATCATCAGTTACAAAACCCATTGAATACAAGTACAATCATAGCTAGATTTTCGCTACTGATTAAACTTGTATTTAATGAAGTTTATGAACTTATGATGGAGCTGGTCTACGAAACGTTTTCATTGAAGACATTGTAAATTTAATAGGAGCTATACAGAATGAATGTATATTTTTCCTGTGCATATAGATTGAATGTATATTATTATTTATTCCTGTACATACAGACTGAATGTATATTATTCCTGTACATACAGATTGAATGTATATTATTCCTGTACATATAGTGCCACCAAACACTTTATGGCAGCACAGTCATACCTGAATAAATTATACGCAGCTCTCCAGAGTCGTGGACTTGTAGGGGAGAAGCTTTGGTGCGTGTTAGGAGGACCAGGCTGAGGCTCGGTATATAAACATGTGAGCCGTGATGGTCTTATGCGGTCAGGGAGAGAGAAATGCACTCAATGTGACATCACGAAGGTTGTGCTTGGAAGTGGGTTAATAATTTATAATTGGATTAATAATGGACAGCCTGGGTTCATGCTAGAAAAAGTTCATGGCATTTACCTGCATGGCGAGACGCATTTTGTGGGTTTGTATCTAAACACGACTATAAGCTAAAGTTCGAAGTGACTTGCATTGAATTAAAGACTTAGTTCGAATGTATATCTTCCGAAAAAATGTTCTTCACAGGCACTATTGATACATAATTATGATTTTTTTGTTGTGTGTAAACTGTGATCTATATTCTGCACATTACAGATTGAATTAAAAGGATAAATGTTCGACAATATTGAGATCGAAAAAAATATGGTGCAAATTTTTTCGCACCTCAAACTTAGTCTCGATTAAACACACCCGACAAACTGATTACTAACAAAAAATATCTGTGCATTGCCTCACTTGTTTAAATCGAAGTTAAAATAATATTTTTCATTATTCACCTATTATTCAAAAACCGGGTTTTATTCAAACAACTTTTATTGCAATTTTAAGATACTGCAGTATCTTCTATATTGAGGTTGTCTATAAATTTTTTAAGGCACAGTTTTGACATTTTTTTCAGTCAACTACACGGAAAAATAATGAAAACTTATTAGCAAATGAAGAAGCAAGCAATATTGAATCCAAATAATGAAAATGACCTAAACGCGTTCGAGTTAGTACTCATATTTAATTGATAACAAAGATAATGCTCATCGCTTATTACTAGACCCTGCTAAGCCACGGTATCAAAAATATTTGCCAGCGACACAACATCACAGCGAACTTATTGGCATATAGGTAACGTATATATATACGCAGTTAACGTATCCGTTCTTTCCTGTCACTGCACCTACATACTTTCTTGGAGCTTCAGATAAAAATTCTATTGTTGTCAGAAACTCCAAGAAAGTATATATTCAGATAGATGGCCCGTATACATGAAAAATACAAGTTATAATAAATAATTATACAATACTTTACTTGTTCATGAGTGGTACGTGATCAGCTTGGAGAGCTGCTCACGATTTGCCTATAACACACAATAAAAAGTGAACTAATATCGTGTGCAGGTAACTCATATTGGGCGCAGTTAACACATATCGTGCAAAATGCACTCATGTCATGCGCAGTGAACTATCGTGCGCGGTGAACACACAAACAGATAGCCGCGCTGGTCTTCCGAGAGATCGTCGACCATGTATGGACAGATTATTCACATGACCTTATCTGGGCCGATGCGGTGTATACGTCAAATTAATTAACGGTGATACGTCAGCGATAAGCTCTACGGTCAAGGCCGTTCATTGCGGAGCTGTCATTGCAGTGACGAATGTGCACGAGCGTCATGCAGCCATGCGGGCAATGCGATCACTGCGCACACCGATGTGGCGCCAGAGTCATCTTCCCCTCATTGGGGTTACTGCATCAAGTATAAGGTGAGCTAATAAACCAAGCACAATATTTGCAATAGTTATAAATAATTACATCTTAGATTGTCCTCTTTATTCAATTTTTATGTTCATGTTCCCTCCGTCAGTTTTATCTTATTTCAATGACGCAAAACTCATCTGCACAGGTGCCGGATACTTTCAGCCCTCCACCTTGAGCTCGTGATCATGAGGCCTGTAGGTCTCCAAGCAGTTCCTCGCCCACCTTTTCAACATATCAGCCTCAAAGATCTCTATCCCGGCCATCTAGGATAACTCCCTAATCATCTAGGATAACTACCTAATCATCTAGGATAACTACCTAATCATCCACATCGCAAGCAGGGAAAATTTAGAGCAGGACGCGTCCTACCGCCCTATTTTTCTCCTCTGGTTATAGTAGCTGTGATCCTGGAACGGCCTCATTTGTCCACAACATTGCTTCAATTGATTACTACTAGGTTTATCATCGAATCATAGCATTAACCTAGGCCACTCGATTGTTATCTCTGGCTGTCAGACCAGCTCGCGACGGGCTTCAGCAGCGAAGGCCTCCAGAATTTCCACAATTACTCATTTATTCCCGCAACACGATTAGCAATAGTCAGATTTCTTCGAATCAAAATTCAAAAATCCTTGCAGTCATGAGGGAAACTCACTATATCTTGTCTGTCCAAGTTGAGGCTACTGACAATAAGGTGACTGGCACAGGATGCATATAAGTTTTGGCCCGCACCAATCCAAGATAACTTGGAGAAGGACATAACGGCCACTTCCTGGGCCATCAAGCCGAGAAATCTTTAACGATGTAAATATATCTGCGACGCCATCACCTATCGTACTGTCGTTACGAAGCTACAGATCATCAAAAACTCCATTATGAGGTTTGACAGCAGCCGTAATTGAGCATCCATAGATCACCCCATGCTGAAACAGGCGTTCTTCTCATGTCTGCCTAACCTGGCTCGATCGTGCGTAGATCCTTGCCAGCGCTCACCAAACCACCGGCCCTTTTTTTATAGTTTTTTATTCTACTCTGAGAAAGGCAAATGAAATCTACTCAACTGTTGTGATTCGGCCACCTCAAGGCCTCCTTCCTGATGAATGGCATCATTGAATGCAGGCTACTATGAAGTAGTGAAACGATCCTTCCGCAATTAAATCACCATTCAGTGCAGCGTAATTAGATGGAAACAACAACGTCCGGCTATGCAGAACCACCTCAGCTCGCCTCCTTCGCCCTACCGCTCATCTTTGGCCCAGCTACGGTTGGGACACGGCAATTCGTTCGCATGCAGGCTGTGTGGCCAGGGTGGAGGAAGCAGAAATCGTCTTGGATACCAGGATACCATCCTTGCTTTTACTCATCGACCTCCTCTTCCGAAAACCCACCTCGTCTGCAGCCTGACCCGCTCCTGCGTATTCGTGACCATCGGCGCAAGAAACAACTACAACGACATGACACTAGAAAGAATAAACACGAATGAAGTTTCCAATGAAAGCCAAGTGTTCGCAGGAACCTACACTGAATTTTGAGAGATGAATGGCGCAAATTTTTTTATATAGGTTAATTGAAAGAGGGCTGAGTTACGTCGGCTGCTGTATATTTTTATTTGCATAAACAGATTCTTATGCAAATAGTCTGCTGGAAAGTAAGAATGCAGTAGAAAAGAATCCCGTATAAGGATCTTATGGATATAGAAATCATGAAAAGAGTTTACTAACTAACACATACTGCAATGAGACGAGCTGACGAGTATTAAGCCTGAGGGTGAACAATAATCACTGACAGATAACAGTCATTGAGCTCATGTTTTGAAGCCGTACCCAAATTACGCTTATCGAATACCGGTTTTAAGGGCTGTGGGCCTCTTAATTACTGTACTTTGCGATATTGGTCAATATCATCAGAAGTTTGCTGGACCTATACAATTTTCAAAGCAGCTATTAATGTTAATCCCGTTCATCTTTCAGTGAAGCGTCACAGTGTTTGACGCTAAGTTCTCAGTGAAGCCTTATATACGAGCACACTTTTATCGGAGTAATTTCAGCCGATAAAATCACGCCTGTTCAGAACTTATAGATTGGCAAAAAAAAATCTTATAAAAATTCGTCTAAGAATTTTATGAACTAATTGTAGATGCAAAGGCTAGAAATTATTTAGAACCGAGTGAAAGTTTATTTGGTGGAATAGCGCCTGATTTTAATATAATATCAAGCGCAATTCATAAAAAAATATGAATGTAACTGCTCAGCCAAACAAATTCTAAATGAAATCCAATAATTAAATTAATTTTTTGTGTTCACCCGACTGATCAAATATTTATTTTATCGGTTCTTTCGAGTAAATTATTGACTTATTTCAGAACTTCGGGTTAGCAGAGGACGGATTTTTTGTAAATAATTTGATTTTGACAAAAGAAAATACCTTAACCGAGTGCCACGTTTGTATTCTGGATGGCAGCCTAGAAACATTTATTAGCAAACGCTTTGTAGTACCATCTAACTTGTAGGTGAAATAGAAATGCTAGAAAAATTCTCAGTCAAACGTTTTATTTTCAAGGATAAATATTGAATAATACATTTTGTGAAGCCTATATGCGCCTTTCAAACAATCTAGAGGTATTTGGCTTCTCAAGGGAGACTGGCACAGACATTCAACACTTGGTTTAAGCAGGCATTTGTCCAAATCGATGTATATTTTACAATGCATCTATCATATATTTTAATTCAAATTGAATTTAACAGTTCATATAAATGCGAAGAAAAATAACAACAGTTGTAAATTTTTTTTAATACATTTTGAACATCATCATTAGTTGAATGTTCCTACACAGAAGTAAGAGTTATTGTCGAAAGTGGGTAGCATGTGCAAAGTCGCATATGTATGTGGGTATGTTGAAGGTTAAGAGTAAAGATTTGAATAAGTTGAAGGCGCGAAATAAGTAAAAGGTGAGAATATGTTTAAGATGTGAATACATTGAAGGTTCGAAATAAGTTGAAGGTGTAAGTTCATTTGCGTGAGCGATCAGCTGTCGAGGTGTTACTTATCGCCTTATTTTCGTTGCCACAACAGCAGGAAGCATTAAAGTTGATAGATGCTAACTTTCCACGAAGATTTTTTTCACGGCTGAAATTTCAACTCAAATAATTCAGTGCTTTCATTCAATTGAACAAAACGCTGTATATATAACAGCAGAGGATCTTCACCACAACCGTTGGGGCCGCATCGTCTTGCGAACATGACCTCCTGTCCAGACGAGAAACATGTTATATTAAATATGATGGGCATCTTAAATAACCCGTCGATAGCTTGCAAGACTCAATTTTTATAAAGAGGGATGTGGCAATCGTGAAAAATCTTTTTTTTTATTGCTCCGAAAGCTTGATGAAGTGGAATTCAAATAAAACGATTAAAAACGCATAGGAGACAATTATGTTTTTTTTAATTCTAGGTAGCGATCGTAGAATACTTGCACAAGTTTCTATAAACCTATGTTCTCTCTCTCTGTCCTTAAGGAGAAATCCAAAATCAGATCACTGACTGAAAATAAACATATATCAATTATTTTAGCAAGCGCTAAATTCCGACTAATCTCAGAAAACAATAACGATTCATATATTAGTATTGGGAATTTGTACGACATTCCAGCAGATTACGATATAGAAGAGCGTTTACGAATGGTATTGCAAGACCAGATACAATTTGCTCATCTACATTATATTCGGTAATATCGTTCAGAGCTATCGGTAATACAGTGCATTGGTTAAGAGCTAGAAAATCGAATTGTTTCGCTTTCTTGCCTGCCTACTTTGGCATTCTTTTTAATGTCATTGAGCTGTGATCCTTGCTTTTACTGATTTTGCTTAACCTTAAATCGTCATGCATGCATCGAGTTAACTTTAAATTTTTATAGCTTCTACATATAACAGCGTCCATAATGTTACTTTTTTTCTTCTGTTTTCTTCAAATCAAAACCCTCCTTGCAGTCTAAATTTTTAAGCAAATTTGAGTCTGCAGTGCAGCGGAGTTTCGACACCGTTGAGTTTAAAATGATTCAGAAAATATTTTATTCAGAAAGAAGAAGGCTATTCATTTCTTCTAATAAGCTTATTAATATTCAATGAGAGCAATACTTTGCTATTGAACTTCATCATTTACCAAAATCATAAAAATGGAAGGAAACTGAATAATTATGAGGAAAATTGGAGGTACTGATATTAAAATGCGCAATGGTTGCGCATCGAAAAGAAAATATCAGGGATGCTATGAAAAGTAGCTTTTTACTGAAAAATTCGAGGCCGGAGGGTAACATATTTAAAGTTTCTTATTTCAATTTCAAATTTTAATTAATGATTAATCCAGGATACTGCAGTTGGAGAAAATCCTACATAAAAATTCGAGTCCTCTGTATAAAACTAAATATATATACATTTAAACATTTTAGTTAATTTAATTTTATTTTAAAATTATATCTCCAATTAGTCTCTATTTAGACATATCGTTTTGTTAATAGGAAGTATGCTAGTCTTCAGCAGGGAACTTTCATTTCCAAGTAAAACAAAATTGCCACAGTTTTCAGTTGCTGGCACCTGAATAAAGCGAACCGAAGCGATGAGGTGCGTCGGACAAAAGCTGCCCGAAGTGACCGTCTTTGGTCTGCTGCAGGAGACCGAAGTCCCTCGCCTGCAACGGGGAATCGGGGTCTCTCGCCTGCTGCAAAAGACCGAATTCCCTAGCCTGCTGCAGAGGACCGAAGTCCCTAGCCTGCTGCAGAGGACCGAAGTCCCTCGCCTGCAACAGAGGACCGAAGTCCCTAGCCTGTTGCAGAGGACCGAAGTCCCTAGCCTGTTGCAGAGGACCGAAGTCCCTAGCCTGCTGCAGAGGACCGAACTCCCTAGCCTGCTGCAGAGGACCAAAGTCCCTAGTCTGCAACAGAGGACCGAAGTCCCTGGCCTGTTGCAAGGGACCGAAGTCCCTCGCCTGCTGCAGGGGACCGATGTCCCTTGCCTGCCGCATGATGATCTTCAGGAAGGCCTGCATGAGTACCCGAGGCACGACACACTCGGTCTCCAGGCACCTCTGTAGGGGCACCGCGAGGTCGCGAGACATGGCGCCGGGGCCATGAGTGGCACTAGCATCTACAAAGGATATTAATTATGTTTTATTAATTCGTTTACTATTGGTTTGCTATTTAATTGTAAAAACTCAGGTACAATTAAAATGCATAATCAACCGCGTCATCAATGAATGTAATCATCAATGAATGATGACGACGAGTCTCAAAGACGTGATTTTACAGATAACTGTTATCTCACATTTATTCCACATGCATTATTCATGGAACTTATAGTTTATGATGTGACCGTGATAAAGAGCTCCCTTTTCATATGAAATATTCAGCAGAAATGACAAATTTTCTTTTCGGTGCTTAATTAAGATGAAGAGCTTCTGTTGTCGCAATTTTGTTATGTTTACAGTAAACGGTAATGGTAAACATCCGAGCATGCAAAATGATACTAAATTAATGCGGTTAAACATATTCGAGAATTAATCATCGTTTTATTAAGACGTTATGGTATTTGTATACCTACTGATTATTGGCAAGTTTGTAACAGCTAAATTTTATCTCGCCATTAGGGGAAATGAGAGAGTGAAGTTGTGATCTTCGGTAGATTTTCTGACAATGAATTAAAGGACAAACCTACGCTTGTGATACCTTTGGCCGAAGCCAAGTCTTTCTTGGCTTAAAAAAAGTAACATATTTAATGTGCGGTTAATAACCTCGAATAAAATCGAAACTTTAATTCCAAATTAATTAATTAAACTTCCAAATTACCTTTTTTACACTTTTATAAATGTCATTGGGTACAAAATTATCACAGTCCGAATAACTGGAAGTATATATAATATGTATAATTATATTTTGATATGCGTGATATCAAATTATAATTCAATCAATTTTATGATAAAGAACCGTACCTTATATATATATAACAGTAATTTATAATTAGTTCTTTAGAAACTGTAATGTAAAATTTTAGTCATGTTTCGGGCCTTCAAATTCAACTACACTTTATACCAAACCATATCTGACACTGGTTCTTCGGTTACCAGAGTTACTTTTGCCGCCTGGGAACCCGAGTGACGACCCAGTCTGATCGTCCCCCACGTCAGGACGATCGCCGTACTCGTCACCGTCGTCATCACCGTCGGAATAATGCGCGGCCACTGCACGAGAAATGCATCGTTATTGTCCACTGCACGTCATTGTCGGGTTAAATTATCCAGAAGATCACATCAGAATTGTGAAATATTTTTTTACATTTTTTACATTAAAAACAAAGATTTTGCATAAAATTTGTATTTTTATAGTATAAAATGCATAAATGATCTATTAATTAAAAAATTATATTAAACTCAGTAGGAAGTAGTGTGATAGTAATATTTTTTTGGAATAAGTTCTCATTTTATGAGCCGATGGAGAAGGAAGTTCAAAAGACATGAAAACTTCATGATCAAAAACATCTCACTGATATCGTCGTGTGTTATTCTCAGAATGCATGGTTCATTGATAGCCCGTTAGTTCTTAAGGTTAGAGATTTAAGACTATTAAGTGTTTTTTAAACTAGAAATCAACGGTAAGATGTTGGAAAACATGCTTCAACAAAGCAATTCTCGCCACTACCTCAAAATGAAAAATTTTCAACAAGTGAACACAGGCAGAAACAATTTCCTGAATAAACTCATCGTAGCCTTGCTCAACAGAATGTGTACTCTCCATGAAACCTTCACACTTGGAGGTGGTGATGTAAACTTGCGACGATAGTTACGAATTATAAAAGTGGCTCTAAAGAAGTGGAGGCTTTCAATGCGGCAACTTGGTTCGAATCTTTGAACTATGTACAATTTCCAGCGAGCTCGTTTGCGAAGAATCTCGAGTAGTAAAGTGACATTCTTTTTTCGACGCTGAGGCATTCAGAAAAATTATTTGCTCACGTGGTCCAAATAGCGACTTACTTTTTACACGAGGCATTGATCCGCCCGTTTACCCGGCCTAAATAGGTCTGGATATGCCCCCCACGATTGCAAAAACTGCAATGTTTTTTAGATTCTTTCTTTCATTTCTTCGAATGCACAATTGAGAATTACTATTTATGATGGTTTCTATAGAAATTATATTATGAGAAGCATTATATTATATACACCGTGGGAGGAAAACTTCATGCTCTATTTCCTGCTATCAACAAAAGATGACTGAAGTTTCAGTGCTTATTTGTGCCCTACACTGTGAAATTTGATAGGTCATATTGTCAAAATAGTGACGCACTTTCTGCCCGTATCACTGATCATCATTTTTTCGGACCCAAATGGGTCCAGATGACCCATAAATAGGCATAAAATGCGTCGCTTTTTGTAAACAATCTCATTTACATTTTTTGATTGTACAATTTACCATGGCGTTCGTCAGACTCGGATTCTGTATCGTCCAGCACGCTGCCTCTGAAGCCTCCCTGTTGAGGAGGTCCAAGTTCATCTTGCTGCTGGTGGTGGCCTTTGATGTAACGTGCGAGCTGAAGCAACGACAGCAAGTCTTGATCATCTTTTTCTCTCCGGAACAAGACATCAAACTGCGAAAAGAAATTCATGTCTTATTTCACCATCTCGGGACTTTAGAGATTTCAAAGATTTAGATTTTATTGGTGATATTCGTTGCTTTGAAAAATATAAATAGTTTACAACGAATTTTTAAAATTTTTATTGATTTGAGACTGTCGAGTTAAAAGTTTTTAATTTAGTTGTCCTCGGAGAGAGTGATCCCCAAACTTGTTCAGTACGAGGGTGATTTCCACGATACCAAACTTGTCATGCCCGGCTACTGACTCAAACATTTATACTGCTCCTGACTCAAACATTTATGCGGCTACTGACTGAAACATTTTTGCGGCTACTGACTCAAACATTTATATGCTCCTGACTCAAACATTTATACTGCTACTGACTCAAACATTTATACTGCTACTGACTCAAAGATTTATACGGCTACTGACTCAAACATTTATACTGCTCATGACTCAAACATTTATACGTCTACTGACTCAAACATTTATACGCTCCTGACTCAAACATTTATACTGCTACTGACTCAAACATTTATACGTCTACTGACTCAAACATTTATACTGCTACTGACTCAAACATTTATACTGCTACTGACTCAAACATTTATACTGCTACTGACTCAAACATTTATACGGCTATTGTCTGAAAAATTTTTACGGCTAATGACTCAAACATTTATACTGCTCCTGACTCAAACATTTATACTGCTACTGACTCAAACATTTATACGACTACTGACTGAAAAATTTTTACGGCTACTGACTCAAACATTTATATGACTACTGACTGAAAATTTTTTACGGCTACTGACTCAAACATTTATACGGCTATTGTCTCAAACATTTATACGGCTATTGTCTCAAACATTTGGAGACCGTTGTGCAAGAATAACTGGGATAAAGTTACAAGTTGATAGTTGAATGTTCGCTGCAATATCCGCAGATTTGCAAACCGCAGATTTGGTTTGCCAAATCAGTGGGCACTCGGAGTGAGTAACCTTATTACCTAATCATTTGCAAATTTTCAAATTATCTACTAATTTGTATAGTATAAAATCAACAAATAACTCTTATGTAATCAAAATATTTATTAATTAAATAAGTTATCGAATTATCTACAAATTCTTAAATTATCAAATTATCTGCTAATTTGTATACAATCAAACTATCTACAATTGTAAAGGCACACGAAATTGAATATTTTGTATCAGGACATATTAACTAGAAGGATGAATAATTGTACTTTTCGTTAATAACCGACAACCAATGAATGTGTGTCTGAAATTCATTATTAATTGTTAACTAGACTGAGTGGTTGAGTCATTTTCCATGCGTCTCGACTCATGCAGCGGGATACCAATAATAAACACTTTGTTGTGAGTGTGGACTTGCCCTGGGCACGGCATATTTATGGTAGTGGGCACGGCATATTTATATGTCGTGCCCACTAGACTGAGTTGAGTAATAACTCAACTCAGTCTAGAAAATGGAAAATAACTAGACTGAGTTGAGTAATTTTCCATGCGTCTCGACTCTTGCAGCGGGACACCAATAAACACTTTGTTGTGAGAGTAGACTTACCAGGCCTGGGCACGGCAGGGTCGCTACGGCCGACTCTGGGGTAGTGCCTGGGCAGAGGTAATACAGGGCCTGAGCGACGCAGACTTACCCTGGGCACGGCAGGGTCGCTACGGCCGACTCTGGGGTAGTGCGCCTGCCTGGGCAGAGGTAATACAGCGCCTGGGCGACGCAGACTTACCCTGGGCACGGCAGGGTCGCTACGGCCGACTCTGGGGTAGTGCCTGGGCAGAAGGTAATACAGCGCCTGGGCGAGGCTGTAGGCTCCTCGCCCTTCACCCTGTCGACGGACCGATGACGAAATTTTCAGAAAATAATTACTAATTATGCAGAAATTAATAGCATAATAGATGTATTAAAATATTTGCAATTATTTCATAATTAATTTAAGGTTCTTGTAGTTACCAGTGCAACAGTGCAAATTATATTTCTCAGTTGAATTTTTTTAGTAAAAGCAGCATGAATACATTAAAAGAACTTTTTTTCAAATATTATGATAATATAAATTGCAAAACAATAAAATAAAATAGATCCAGTAATAAATATTTTTAAATAATTAATGGAATTAATTAATTTCACGCGTTTTGAGCTGAAAATAGTGTTTTGACGTAATAATGCCCATTAATAAATTTGAATTTAGAAGTACAAATCTTAAATTACGAAAAAGATCCGGAAGATATATTATATGTTTGCCATATGATATTTATCTTCATATAAATATCATATCGTATATCATATATCATCTATTATGTATCACACGTCATTATTATATCATTATATTATATATCAGTATTATGTATCACATATCATATTATATGTGAGACATATGATATTTATCTTCATATAAATATCATATCATATGTGTGCCGTACGACAAATGTCATATGAAGCTGAACGTGGAATTAAAGTATCGAATGACAACGCTAAATTATAGTGATAGTTTGCATTAACCTAAATACACGTCAAAAACATTACGATCCTTGTGCATTATGAACTGATATTTTACGCATGGTACATCTTGATAATTTGGAGGGATTAAGTAACTGAGGGAAATTCGACACATACAATTCAGATTGAAAGCTTTGTAGAAAGCAAAATTTTGGTGCTATGATGCGGAATGCAGAGTATTATTAACAAGAGCAGCATGTCCAGAGATAATTTTTTTTATTTTGATCTCGAAGTATCTCGAAAATTTTCCACAAACTAATCAATTGCATGCCCTCTTCTTATCTTCATGTCCGATAAAACGGCGACAGTAAGTCATGCAATTTTCAAGCTTAATTGTGATTTTTTTCTTTTTTTTTTGTTCATGGATTAGTCGCTATTTAATGACTCGTAAAATATATTTTAAGTGTACAATGGCATAAATTGTTCAAACACGCACTGATACTGATTGACTCCATGTTCTGCAATGGTGACCTCGGAGGTCAACTAGTACACAGTCCTACTAAACCAATCTAGCGGTGCAATGAGCTTGACGATGGCTACCGGGCTCAAGAGTAATCAGTTTAGTGGTCCGCATTCTTCTCGAGAATAGACCGGCCCGAAATCGCTGAAACCTACAGCTCGAAGTGGCTCCAGCCAACTGCTCGAATTCGTTTCACAGTTAGAAGTGGTTTCACTCACCTGCTCTATGGCACTCCTCCCACCTACTCGTAGTCGTTTGACCTACCGTCTCGTAGTCGCTCCACCCACCTGCTCGTAGTCGCTCCAACCACTACCCACCTGCTCGTAGTCGCTCCACCCACCTGCTCGTAGTCGCTCCATCCACCTGCTCGTAGTCGCTCCACCCACCTGCTCGTAGTAGCTCCACCCACCTGCTCGTAGTCGCTCCACCCACCTGCTCCAAGTCACTGCGGCGGCCGATGCGCGGGACTTGCGGTGGGGCGCTTGCCAGGTAGCTGCCCGCCACGGGGGCGGCGGATGACTGACTCACCACCACCACCACCACCGCCAGCGCTGTGGTACTGCACCACATCTGCACGGCACGCCCGAGACACGATATAAAACAACGCATTTGTTGCTGGTGATTTGGATTTGCTCATTGAGATGCTTGCAGATTAGGCACACGATAATTTGGATTGAAACGATCATCTGTTGACTCTCTGATGTATGAACATGTTTGATGATTAAAGATGCTTAGTGTTCAAAATTAGTACTGATTTTTAATTGGCATCTCCAATAATCTGTTTTATCGTTACAGGCAAAACATTGCTCCCTTCAGTGTTCAAAAAATAAAGTAAGAGCGTTTGGTCAAAAGTTTTGAACCTTGAAGTCGTATATATTTGTGAACTTTTCCAAACAGCGAAGAAGCAACATACTTTCATTTATATCAGTAAATTAATGACATTGCATTTTATGAAACTTAGATTGGTTGTCTTAAAAATATAATATTAAATTCTACGCAAATTAATCACGTGATATTTCAGCCTTTGATATGTAAATTCTCAAACAATTTTAGCATATATAGGTATCTAACATTTTTTCATATTTCCGCACATAAAAAGGTCGAACTTATGGCAGAGCACTTTGGGCACTTTATAGTTGAGAATTAATTCACTAAGTAAAACTCAAAATTTGCTTTTTTACTGGCGACTTTGGAATTTTTTGCAGTACACGCGTAAATACATTCAATCAGCCTGCTTTAATCCATGCGGTTTTGGAATCCCTTATTCGTATATTAGTTTGGGAATTAGCCTTTCATTGAGTTATTTTCGAGACAGAATTGACTCTTGCATGTCATGTTGTCGCTCAGCCGCTGTCCCGCAAGATGGACGGGTAATTCAAGGCAATAATTGACCAAAATGACGACAAAAATTACCGCCTAAAAATATTTAGTTAAACTGACTGCTCGTTGCAAGACTAAAATGCACCGACATTGCAAAAATAATGCTCAGAATTAAGTATGAAGGCGGTTAATGAGGTCGAAGCTAAAGCGAGTTCGAATTACGTCCGGAAGTCCAAAGCTGATCCGGGCTGCCGCTGTTGCTTGGCCAAATGTCCGTAAAACTCATCATCGCCCAATCAGCTTCGCACACTGAGACAAATTTATATTTTTTTCGCATAAATTCAAGCCAACCACAAAAATTTAATAATGGAATAGGAATGCTCCACAAAGTTTATCCTGATGGAAATATGAATCAGAGATTAGCTCAGGCTAAACGAGAATAGCAAGGGACTAATCTCGCGCCGAATCTATTAAAAATTGAAATTTAGTCATAATCATTCATGGCTGATCATTAAAGGCTCAAAAAAATAATTATGAACAGGATTTACATTTAAATATTTCGAGACTAGTGAAATCATTCCATAATAATTGAAGTTGATTTTGGATTTGTTTCTGTCGTAATTTTTTTCCACTGTAATTGCGAGCTTCAGTTTAATCCTATAATATTTTGCACTCAATGGGACTATTATTTGCTCAATTAGCATTTTGTTCAAATGAATCAAAATCGGTTCTCAAGGATCAAGATTATATTTTCAACAAAGAAAAAATGAATGGCGCACCCTGAAAAATAGTTTTAATTTTTTAAGGATTTTCAAATTATAATTCAAATACTTCGCGCGTTTTCGAGCTTTCAAGAATAGATCAGTTCATAGTTATTGTTCATGTAGGTTGGACGCTATTCACGGCAACGGTGGAGAGAATTGTTTTAATAAGGCAACGAAGACTGAAGATTTTAGGAAATTTCAAAAAATTATCTTCGCTTATGTGTCAGTCACATTAATTCGCCATCTAAGGTCTGGGCCTTCGAGCGATCCAGGATTTATGAGGTATAATGATTTTATTCGAATATTAAAAAGACTTTTTGAAAATCAAAAATAATTCGTATTTTAAAATCAAAAATAATATTGGCGTCCTAATTGGCAGCCACGCGGGCAAATTTATTTGAACGGCCATAAGGTGGTCAAATTTATTTAAAATTATTCAGGTTGACATTGTTAGTTCGCAATTAATTCAAAATATTATAATTCAAATTCTTCTCATTAAGAAAAGTAAATATTCATCTTATTCAATTGAATTTAACAGTGAGTGGCGTCTTCGAATGGGCAATATACGTACTTTTTTTTTACAGGAGCTATACAGTATATGAAGAAGCAACACATCAAAAATGTGGTCTAATTTAATTCAAGTTGCTTACGTCCCAACACTTGAGGCAAAATAGTTGGATTTCAACTAAGGGGGGCAAGAAAAAATAGCATGGGTAAAATAAATGAGGAAAATAATTGATCACTCATTGAGCCTCATTAAAAATTTACAGACATTCCCTTTGAATATAAACCACATGTCAAAATTCCTGACGACTAAATAAGTATTACTTGCTCCATCAATCAAGGCAAAAATATATTAGTGATATATGTTCCATGAATTCCAACAAAAATACATCAGCGTTTGGCTCCGTGAATTATGAATAAATTTAAGGATTCGAATGAATCGAGCATTTTGAATAACGATTTTCGAAACGAAAGGTTTCTTATAGTTGGCGGCTTGCTAAAGCATTGCATTGATGTTAGGATTGTGCAAGCGAAACGAAATTGATAACTAAATTCGAAAGAGTGAAAAAATTCATGGTAAAAAGTTGTAACGTTGTAAAGTAAGGTTTTAACGTTGTTGAAATTTGTAAATGTAAAACTCAAAATGAACTTACCTTATATTTTCAGTCGAAAATTTGTTCTGACGAAATACGATGGATTCGCCGAGACCTAATCCCACAATTCAGTCAAGTTTTTTTTTGATTCAGTGAATGAAAATGAATTAAAATGAATGAAAATATCAATCAATTGACACTTGATGCATCCCTGCCTATAGTGTGAGAACTAGTCTTGTTATACTTTTTATAATACTTATATAATTTGCATGAGCATACAAAAATGCTGCGGATAAAATAAAACACTTAAAGCTCAATCCATTGATGGTTAATCCAAAAAGTTAATTGTTGCTTTGCACGCTATTGTGTGATGAGGATTTTATGACTTCAATTAAACTTTGATTCACTTTAGGACTTTGATTCATAACAAACAATCGTTAAAAAACAATCAATCGTTACTTCCATGGCATGGAATAGACTGAACGTAGTTTGAAAGTGGTAATTTTTTTAAATTTGATTTATTGTTTTCACCATAAATTTTTATATGAGAAGCGTTTGTTTCATTCTACTCTATCATGATGGAAAAAACTCTTAAATAAAGTTAGGTTAGTTCATCCAAATATGAATCCGACATTTGGAAGCTTCGGTTTTTGGCTATTGCCGTGTCAACAAATGGCAGTGGTTTAGCACAATATTTTTGCATCACTTTTGTGTATAAATATAATAATATAATTGCATTGGTTATTACAATATAATTGCATTGGTTTAGCGCAGTATTTTTTAGTGTCGCTCTGAGTCCCGAACTTGGCGTTGTCAACAGCCGCGATCATAAATAGAAGTTATCAGTGAGTATAGCCTCCCACGTGGTCAATACAAGTGAAAACATCCTATCAATTCTACGAGCATATAACAAAGCGGCAATCAGCCAAACTCGCATATTTTTAACAATATAAATACTGAGTTCAAAATTTGTTCAAGTCAAATAAAGTCTTGTTTTTGTCTAGTGCATGTCGTTATATTTAAATGCTTCGTTCTTATATAATTTGCATAAATACATGCATATGGTTGTGAGTTGAGGGATTGAATGTCGGAGGCTCGCTGCTTGTAAAAAAATTCTCATTATGTTCAAACATTTCATAGAAAATTATATTGCCCCAGTCGAGGGTATTGTCTTAAAAGCAATAATAAAATCAGAACATTAAATCACATTTGACCTGACACCTCGAAAGCTCTGTCACGCGCTCGCTTCCAGGCTCCGGTGAGAACAAATTATTCGTTCTTTTCACGATATTGGCTACAAATAAGTGTAATTATGTGGTATATGTTGCTTAGGACTAATTTATATGCAATTTGTGATGCTAAACTAGTTATGATGCTGCAGGAAACGTCGCAAATAAAATTATTTCTATTTCTGGCGATCATAAACGACCATCGCTGCTTTTTGTTAAGTATCGCTAGAGTTCAGTCGTGATTTTCATCACATTTCTCAATGACATCAAAATGTATATTTGTTTAAATGTATTAAATGTATTGAGTCGTCCGGTTAAAATTGTATGGAAACTATCGTACTGAAAGGTACGTTTTTTTGCCAGATTTGAACATTGATGAAATTGTTTGTTAAATAAATTGTCTTTGTTAAATAATTTATTTCAGTTAAGATTCAAGATGAAATTCTTATTATTCAACTTATTTTAAATTCATGTTGATGTTTTGCACTAACAATTAAAACACTGAAATGGGATAAATGCAGAATTAATATTAAACTATTCTTCTGTTTTTGACTGAAATTATGTTAGTTAGATTGCGTATATGAATAATAACTCAGGAGATACGTATATAAGATACTCAGATAACAAGTAACTTTTGACTCAAGTAAATGAAATTTATTTAGAGCTCATCGACACTGCATAATGAGATTTTTGTTGGTTTAATTTATTTTCAACAACAAAGTCGAGAGATGAGTCTTAGTTTTTAACTGATTCCAAGTCAAGCGGAGGAAAATTTTAAATGAGGAGAAAATCTCAGTAATCCACTATTTCGAAGGAATCCAGCAGTTCAACAAATGGGAGTTTCTATGATAAATGAAAAGTTATTGAGAGGAAAATAGTAATAATTAAATAAAATAACTTAAAGAACAAAATTGATATTATTTCAACGTTTTTCGACCGATAAATCCCGTTAAAAGGAAAGCTGACCATAAGCAAATGCAAACGCAGAATGCCCTCAGTGGACCCAGACATGCAACTAATACTGATGCGCTACCGTACTGCAGCTACGCTCCTTAGCGATGCAGCGGCGCGACTGCCCAGGGCTCCACTACGGGCATCCTTATATAGCCGTCGTCCCTGACCAAAGTTACTGGATTCAGAAAATGTTTGGTTAACATTGTACACAGCGACATAGTGTCTGTGCACACCACTGAACCGACTTCCGATGAATGTTTCGGTAGGCTTGTCAAGAAACTAAATGGTATTCTATTGGCTGTGCATCTGTTGGTTTATCAACGAGGCAGGTTTTGTGCAACGAACAATGTTCACCTTTTTAGCGCATTTTCTCATTCATGGAAAAAATATAACTCAGTAATCACTGCAGTGAGTGACAGAGAGCGCATTTTCTCGTCGACGAAAACTTGAGGTCACGGACGGACAGACGGACAGACAGACAGACAGACACACAGACGGACATGGCGAGCACAATAGTGCATTTTTTTCATAAATGAGAAAATGCGCTAAAAAGACGCTATTGTGCTCGTCATGTCCGTCCGTGACTTGCTCGTCATGTCCGTCCGTGACTTCACGTTTTAGTCGACGAGAAAATGTGCTCTCTGTCACTCTCTGCAGTATGTTCTGAGTTATATTTTTTAAGATTTAGTGCGGGAATAATTGATTAAGCACATATTTAATAAAGAGGGAAGCGCAAGGTCTGAAGAATTTTTCTGGAATTCTATTTAAAAAGAAGTATCAATTTAAAGCTTAATTCTAAAGTGTAAGTTTAATTGTTAAATCTAGCAAATTTTTCATATGTGGTTTAGTGTCAAAATTTATATATTTTACTGACATTGATGCACTTATTGAAGGTTTTAGAGTCAGTCAGTCAAATTTGTATAAAGGCTGTGAACAATTGAATATTTACTTGCCAAAAAATCGAATATCAATTTGCAAATTAATTTCAATACAAGAAGTTTTGTGAGTAGCGAGATACGTCGAAGTAGGGATTTTTATACGTAGGCCCGAAATGGGAATATTTTTAAAGATTAACAAATATAAAAAATTACTTCCTCATGTTATTTTCTATTCAAAATTATATTTATATAATAAACGTTACATGTCAGAGTATTTAGAATAGTAATTGTATCAAAAACAACCTAAAAGTATTATGTTGAAAAATATATTCAAATCTTGCATGGAAGTAATGGCTATTATGGCAACATTGATCATTTTTCTTCTCGATCGTTTAGGGGCTTGACTCGATTCGCAGACCAAATATTATTTATATTTTGATATATCGACGAAAATGCTATTAACTTATTGTAGCCAGGATAAATTCTTTGGATGTTTTTGCAGCATTGTTGCCTCTTTTTCTTTACCCTATATGCTGCCGCCGGTAGACATTATCTCACTGTTTTGCGTGGCCGGCCGGCGTAATCGGCAAACTGAAAGACATAGTACATAGTCTCCTATAGTCTCCTCGAGTTCAACGAAGAAAATCTTACGGTTTTTAATAACCACTGGGGACACATTTTTAACATAGCTTAAGTGGTGCAAATTCTCTCCAAAAAACTCTCATGAGTTGCATCTCAGTCATGAGGAACCTCATCACCAAAGGCAGAACTAGCAGAAATGTCTTTGATTTTGCAACTCCGTCAGCTATTCACTGACTACTTTTCAAGCTAAACCCACACATCACAGACTAGAAATTGGCAGCTACGTGTACGTAGGCCGATAGATGTAATTAGGTCGCTATACATGTGTACTTACTACTTAGGCCAGTAATTAGGTCGTTATAGATGTGTACTTGTGCCACCACGTGTAATTAGGTCGCTACAGTATATATGTACATGTGTACTTAGGCCAGTAATTAGGTCGCTATACATGTGTACTTAGGCCAGTAATTAGGTCGTTATACATGTGTACTTAGGCCACTACGTGTAATTAGGTCGCTATATACATGTGTACGTAGGCCACTACGTATACGAGTTTTGATGGTACGGCCCGTGGACGCACCACCGGAAGTGGGCTATAGTGGGTCACGACTGGAGAGCCTGCCGACGACCCAGGGACATAGACACTCTGCGCCACATCAAGTTGATGAGCCGACAAAAGAACTATCTTCTTCGTGGACACATTTGTACAATAAATTTAACCGTTCATGAACTGAAGTGACATTTGAATGAACGGCACCAAAGATGGAAACAATATATATTAAACAACGAACTTGTCTCATGGTTATACTTCATTGACTTGAGAGTATTTCTAGTTAAAATATAACTAAGATCTAGTACTGTACACTGAATTACCATAGGATTATTTTCACCATGAATAGGTATGGATTTGATATTAGTCGAATTTATTTACTCAACCTCTCAAAAATTGATAGGAGAAGTTTGCCTATTTACGACAATTTAAATTTGTCTATGACAGAATTGCTCAAATACGCATAAAATGGAATAGGTTGTGCTAATTTTAATTTTTTTAATTTTTTAATTTAACGTTTTTAGTCAGTTTGGAAAGCAGCTCCATGGACTTCATTTCATGCGTATAATTTCAGCACACCTGCTAGACTTATAGCTTTCTTAAACCATGTCACTTAATTCCTGTACAATACTACTACTTAACTGAATATCTGCACAAGATGTTTATTTTGAAGCTGATGTCAGTTTTTTTTATCATGAAAATTCAACTTTTATGAACAACTGGCCTTCTGTAGGAAGAAAAAATTCTGAAAATTCCTCATGTTTTAGTTGCGTAGAAATACACAACAATTGTAAATGCAGAACTGCCCAGATGTGCGTAGAAGGAAGGCTCAAAGCGCGTCAAGAATTTATGCGCAATTCACCGGAACATTAGACGTGACCGCTCGCAACAGCGTGGATCTCGGTCGGGACAGAGACGCCAGGTCGGGACAGAGACGCCAGGTCGGGACAGAGACGCCAGCGCGTGGAGTTACACGGTCAGTAACTGACATGAATAATACGCGTGACTCAAATTATGCACGCAACTCAATTCTTACACGAATGAGTGAGTGAGAATGTAAACCGTTTGTTGCTTTATTTAGGGATTACTTGCTTGGCAGTAACATTCCATTTTTTAGACCCATCGTGTAATTTTTTGCATATTGTTTTTAAGTGCCATGAATTAGTAATTGAAGTTTAATGAGGAAATACATCATGGAAGATTAAAGTTGGCAAATGAATTCATGAAAGTTTTTAGGCAAAATTAATAAATCTCAATTTGGAAACAACAATGATTTTTTACGTACAATCGTAAAATTTAAAAAATAGGAGAAAACCCAATTCTCTTGAAACATAAGAGAAATTTATTGGCTTTCGATAGTTCCGATATCTGCTAAGTGACACGCATAAGAATAGTAAAAGTGGGTATCGCTGCCGCACACCCATTTGAACACGCCCTCACCAGAGTTTCAGTAACTGAGTTTACCAATACAGTTTAATTTCAATTACTGAAAAAAATTATTCAGTAATCCAAAATATAATATTCAATAATCCAAAAAAGTAGACTATTTTTAAAACACTTTGATAGTGTTGCGACTACACTTGCAGCTCTGGCTGTAATCTGCCGCGCTGATTGCTAAGCTAATCCCAGACTGCCATCACCTGCCACCTACGAGCGCAATGCACTGTGTGTGTGTGTGTGTGTGCAGGGATGGCGAGACCTGGCTCCTGGCGGTGCGAAATGCAGCTGCATGCATGGCGAGCTGACCTCATAGTGAGAGTGAAACAGACGCCCGGGCGCCGATACTTCTGTGGGGGACGTTTGTGATGTACGGTGTTTGTGGGTGACGTTTGTGATGCATTATGTGGGTGACGTTTGTGATGTACGGTGTTTGTGGGTGACGTTTGTGATGCATTATGTGGGGGACGTTTGTGATGTTCGGTGTTTGTGGGCGACGTTTGTGATGTACGGTGTGGTGGTGACGTTTACGATGTATGGTGTATGTGGGCGGTGTTTATGATGTATGGTGAAACGCACACAAATAATTATTTTACTAATATGAAAAATTCAAATACATCAACATTCTGTTTTCAAGAGGCCGGAATTCCTATTATATATATATATATATATTGTTTCTTGAATCAGTTTATGCACTCTCTCTTACCTGTTTTTTTTTATCTTTTTTCCTGTCTGGGACTAGACACCGTTATGACACTGGCAACAGACTCGGCAGCATCGTTGTTCCCAATCTGTCAAGAAAAAGAGCGAGAGAAAGCATGCGGGCTGTACAACACCTGAAAGTCATCAACCTGATGACATCATACACGGCAGCCTTACCTCGTCTCATACAACGTCATAAACAACAGCTTTACCTCGTCTCTTACAACGTCATAAACAACAGCTTTACCTCGTCTCTTTCGCGCCATCCACGACAGCCTTACCTCGTCTATCACACGTCTACCACGACAGCCTTACCTCGTCTCTCACACGTCTACCACGACAGCCTTATACCTCGTCTCTCACACGTCTACCACGACAGCCTTACCACGTCTCTCACACGTCTACCATGACACCCTTGCTTCGTCTTTCACACATCATCCACGACAGCTTTACCTCGTCTCTCACACATCATCCACGACAGCTTTACCTCGCCTCTCACACATCATCCACGACAGCTTTACCTCGCCTCTCACACGTCTACCACGACAGCTTTACCTCGTCTCTCACACATCATCCACCACAGCCTTGTATACCTCGTTGACCTCAGATGATGTGCTGTCGTGCGCCCGAACCTAGAGTTTGGAAACGTAGTATGGTCACCGAAATTGAAAAGGACAGAAATTTAGTAGAGAGTGTTCAAAGACGCGCAACAAGAATAGTTCCGGGCTTGAAAGGCAAGTCCTATGAGGAAAGAATAAAGACTATGATGCTACCAAGCCTCAGTTATCGACGTCTGCGTGGGGACCTCATTGAAGTATACAAGTATACTCATGACTTATACAAGGTCCCATAAGGATTACTAGAATTTGAAACAAGAACCAACACCAGGGGCCACGGCTATAAACTAAAAAACAGCGTTGAAACACATCCATGCGACAACATTTATTCTCGCTTCGAGTCACCGACATGTCGAACAGCCTCCCTGATAGCATCGTTGACGCTCCGAGTATGAACATCTTCAAAAACAGACTAGACGAAGCTATGCAGGAGCATATGTTCAGTCTTAAAATGCCCAGCAAATTACGGACCAGGCAATAAGACTAGACGAAGCTATGCAGGAGCATATGTTCAGTCTTAAAATGCCTAACAACTTACGGACCAGGCAATAAGTCCAGCAGCTATCTCAATCAATAGTCAGCTATGGGAAGATCGTGTTCTAAAGGCCGGATCCCTTAATTGTGAATCAAGTCACGAAAAGTTCAAGAATCGGCAACAGGCCATGGGCCTATTTCTTCAACGCCGACACTTCTATTCTCACACATCATCCACGACAGCCTTACCTCGTCTCTCACACATCATACAAGACAGCTTTACCTCATCTCTCACACATAATCCACGACAGCCTTACCTCGTCTCTCACACGTCTACCACGACAGCCTTACCTATTGATTATTATTGAGTTATTGTTGATTTTAAATTAGGAGGTTATAGTAGGCATTTTCTCCCCGTATATGGGTTTTCGACATGTTTGACGCATCATTTTAGCCTGAAGTAGAATTAGCAACAAACGACTGATGAGTGACGTAAACTGATCAAGATGGTAGAAGAAGAAATCATTTGGTTCATTTTGTGTTTTGTATACAAAATTCATTCGATTGCTATTTATTGTAAATTAATTTTTACCTTTGGATATCTTATGATTTACCTTTATTTACAATTTGATTTCATAGCGTGACCCTAAGGACATTTTTGTGGTTTTAACCCATGAGATAATTGGATGCTAGACAAAATGGGCATAATGATTGCAAATGGACCTTTTTATTATGAATATATAACAAGTCATCAATACAGTATGTCATTTACTTTTTTGCCCAGACTTGATTTTCATCTACCACAGCCCACCCATCCGGGTCCCGTAGAAACAAATCCCACACTTATGCGTTTTTTTTACTGGTGCCGATCTTGTGTAAAATTTTGCACTGAATGCAATGATACCAGATATGTTAGGTTATTTAATTTTCATTAGTAAATTTCAACGAAACCTTATAATTGTACGCATATCATCAGCCATTAGCAAAATTTATTTCGTTTGCAGGTCCGCTGACAAACTTTCAATAATAATATAATAATAGCGGTTTCAGCGTTTATTAGGCCGTAGGCCTGTCACCGATTCTTAACATCGCAGAACATTCACAGCATTTCGCGGTCTTGAACTTGCAACTCACTGCTACAATTACAATATAACCGTCTGGCCTCCTTGCCGATTCTGACCAGAAACTGGTGCACAGAGCTGGGATCGAACCCGCGCCTCTCTGCTCAAATCTTGGTACTCTGAACTTTAACCACCGGTAAATTTTTTGGGGTTAATCCATTTTGGGACGAGCTTTAATAATATAATATCAGTTTCAGCGTTTCTTATGCCATAGGTCTGTCGCTGATTGTCAACATCGCAGAACATCCACAGCTTGTTGCGGTCTCGAACTCACAATGCTACAAATTCTGCCGTGCTTAACCGCCTGGCTTCCCTGCCGATTCTGATCAGAAATAGTCGCACAGAGCTGGGATCGAACCAGCGCCTCTCTGCTCCAATCTTGGTACTCTAAAGTTTAGAGTACCAAGACAAAAATTCGTAACAAAATTGGTTACAGGGGACAGGGTGCCTCTGTGGTTACAGTTTAGAGCCTAAACTGTAACAACTGGGCCACCCTGCTCCCTGTAACCAATTTACACCATTTACATTGTAACCAATGGACCTTGAATTACGAATTTTTGTCAAGAATTTTACAGCTCTCATGTAGTACGTCTTGAACAATTTTACGGCTGGGAGTCGGGCCGTAAAATTGCCCGAAAAGTAAAAATTTATCGAACTAATAAACGCATTTCCCTAATATTTAAAAACCTACATTTCATCATGAATGTGTGTAAATCCACTTAATTCAATTTATGATATTTCATCTGCTGTGCGACAATTCAGTTTAAAGTTCTATTATATTATTGATTGATTCCTTTAATTATTTATTAATTTCATTTAGCTCATTTGTATTATATAATATTTCGTGGCGACTTGTCGCCCGGCTACTCATCTATTTTAATGGTCGTAAATCAAATAGACTAACAGTTGAACAAATTTTTCTGAAATAATGTAATTTAGAATATTTTATTGCAAAATGTGTCACGGTAAGCATTGATAATGCAAAATATATTTTTGAATATTCCTCATCAAATTTTATTCTGACCGTGTTGTTAGGTGTGAAATCAGTTTCTTAGAGTTATAGAATCGGCGAGTGAGAAGTAAACACCTGTCCTGGCGATGAGTAAATTCAACTGAGTAACATGTTACTATAGTGATTAAGTAATTCTTCAACAAGACATTTTGAGGATGATGGGAGGGAGGCATATATATGTTCTTTTTGGATTCTTACTGGTAAGGTTAATTAGAATTTTAGTCAAGTTATTATTTAATTGTTATATAAATATACGTCGTCAACATTCTTTGGTAGGAAAATATAGGCTTTTTCCTTATAATTAAATAATTTTTTGTGAGATTCACTTTTCGTTAACATTAAGTATACTTGCTAATAGTGGTTATTTAACTTTCTTGAGAATGTTATGCAATATGCTTTGAGTTTTACAGATTTGTGCTAGAACTTTAAAATTAAAATCAACGGTCAAGTTTTGGAAGAGATAGGTAAGCGGGCCAAGCGGCTAACAGTAGTGTTTACATTGGAAAATTTTCATGCATTTACTCATCATCTTAGTAATCTACTTAAGTCTAATTCTATATTATTTATTTCAGAGCCTAGTATGGAGAACAGATGCTGGGGCAATCAGCTTAGATAACTCAAACTTCAACTCTACTATAGGTGAGACATAATTATTTGTCTTTGCTACCGATTGAAATTTGAAAATAGAAAGATGTTCCTCTTTTGCTATTAGTCTACAATAAAATTTGTTCCTGTATAAGGTGGAATTTTTGAATGGGTGCCTGAGATTCCTTTAATTCTGTCAAAATTACCAGAGGCTTTAATCTGCTTTATGAATAGAAGAGAAAATTTTTTTATCATGATTTCCAGAAAATTATGCCTAATAGCTACTGGGTATTTCAGTCTTCAAGATTTTAAGCCATCAAACCACTCATCATGACTCATGAATGAAACAAAATCTGCCTTGCTTGTGGTAAATTTTACCTGTTTCTAAGAATGGCAATTTGCTACTTGATACTATTATTACTATAATCTCCTGATCCAGATCTAGAGTGATATATTTTCTGTAATTTTAGAATTGCACTGATGGGATTCCAAATAGAAGACAATTAAAGAATTGTTGTTATTCAAAATAGGAAATTATAGAAAATTATGTAGGTATCTAGACTAGACTGTAGGCAAACCCAGATTATTGAGCAAAATTTTTTCTAAATTGCATCTCAAAATGATCATTTCACAGGCAATTTTGGAAATCCTTTTCAAATACCAGTATATGCAAGTTTTCTTATATTTTACCAAATAAATTGATGAATGGCAATAGAAAGTTATCAAATTATCCATTGCTAAAGGTTTATTTTTCTTATTTGCAGGTGCATTTTGCCAAATTTTTCAATTTGGCATGTAGAGGAAAATTGCATTGTTTGAAAAAAGAGAAAGAATGAGTTAGTCTTTACTTGAGAATTAAATATATTCTAATTCAAGCATTGACTGCACAAGTCTTCAATGATCTATTTCACCTGCTAGGATACTTTTCATTTGCCATTTTCCTAACTTTGTTCAATTTGATGCATAGAATGAATTTGGTTTATTTTAAGCAAGGAGGAATTGAAGTTTAGTGGTTTATATATGCTCAAATTAATTCAGCCTGGTAACTTGATCAAATCCAATATATATCTATATCTGTTAGATATGTGAAGGACATGTAGTTTCAGGAGATTAGATCCAAAATGATATGTGTACTCATTTATATCTACCCCTCTGTAATTCATTGTTGTCTAGTAGGTTATATATACCTAGGTGTATGGTTGCTACTGGAGATGGGTCAGACAAAAATGCATGGGAGCTGTTTCCTGTTTGGGCTGTTGTATGGGTCATCCTGGTGCTGGATTGATACACTTTTCACCCTCAATTTGTAACCAATGATTATGAAATTGAATACCTACACAGTTTTTAATGCTCATTGTGCTGTGGCAATAATTTTTTCACATTTTTTTATCTCTTTCTGAATACAGTTAAAATAGTAAAAGAGCTGAATTAAGCTGGATCTGCATGTTTTTCTCCTTTATTTACAACCAATAATTATGAAATTGAGTTCACATTTTTTATTACTCATTCTTTTGTGCCTGTGGTGATGATTTTCTCCTATTTTCAATTGAAACTGTGGAGCGGGTGGAACCTAACCTAGGCTAACTCAACCTAACCTAACTAATCAAAAATGGGAGTAGGTAAAAATATAAAAAAATATCCCTATTACAGTGCATTGAGTATTGACAACTGTGTATTTATTTTCCTAATTATTGGTTATAAGTTGAGGATAAAAAGCATGCTGAACCAGTTGAATTTGCCCATTTATGCCCATTAATTAAACCATTTTAATCAACAATGGTAGGAGGTTAAAATTAAAAAATAATTGTTGCCACAGCACAATGAGCATCAACCATAATTGCCTAGGGTTATTGTGTCACACTACAACTTCATGAGCAATGATTTCTGCCCTCCATTCTGTCAAGTATTTTGATGCCTTCCATCTTACATATGCTGCAATTATTTTACCAGTCATCAATATAGATTGTTTCCTATCAAATGCTGTCTTAAACACACAATTCTGAACTTGAAACCATTTTAAAAATTATGAGAATGGAACAACCAAATTTCTTGGCTCAAGCAGAGCCATTTCTGTGCACAACAACTTTGTCCGCATGCTACTGTGGTGATGGTACTAATGGTGAGGAAATGAAAAGTCATTCACATGTGCAAGTACCTGAGAACATATACATATTTAATGCTGGTTCATGTGCATCTTCACTGCTGGTGCATGTGGATTGTTGTTGCTGTTATCTTTCTTAAAGTTTATTTGTTCCAATAGTTTTTATTGCATTGTCTGCCAGTTCATTGCCTGCCAGCTACATGAAATGAGATGCTTGAGCACAGCAAAAAGCTCAAGTACGTACCTCCCACCTCTGTAGCTAGTGGAGCACTGATGTCATGAGTCTGACAGGAGCACACTTTACTGCCAACATGTTGAGCAGTTCACCCAGTGGTAAAAGTTTTTATGTAGTTTGATAAATGAGCTACCTAATTATATTAGATCAAAACAGCTCTAACATTATTGATCCAACTACATAAGTTAATCTCAGTTGAAGAGTATCTTGACAGACAATGCTCTTAGATTTGTGATTTGTTTTCATGGAAGTTATTAGAAATGAAGGGATTTAAAAATTTAATTAAAAACTATATTTGATTTCATAATTATTGATTATGAACGGAAGGGAAAAGCATGCCAAAATTGCTGAATTTGCCCATTTTTGCCCACTATACCATTTTAATGAAAAACAGTTTTAGGAAAAAATTGACAAAATTTTGGCCAAAGTGCAATGAGCATTTAAAACTGTATTTTTAATTTCATAATTATTGGGGATAAATTGAATGAATTGGGCATGCCAAACCGGGATGGCCCATGCTAATGCCTACACACTTTTGTCCAAACGTCTGCCGGAGTAAGAACACAGTGTCCAGTTTCTGGTCTTCTAACATATTACTATTGCATGTGTATACAACCTGTTCTGTTACTCATGCACAAATATTACCTTATGACTAGTGGTGTGTATTTAGCACCATAATTAATGCATAAACTGTGATGAAAATTATTATATAATTTTAAAGTAAAAAGGTAAAAATATAATCAAGAGAAAAAATTGCACTCTTCTTTGATATAAATCATTTTCATTTAGATTTACTATCCTAATGCCTTGCTCTCAAATATATGGTTGACTGGGTATCTGTTCAGAAATATAAAATTGCTGTGAAGTGTCAAGTGGCAGACAAAACTTATTTTATGTTTGTTGTTACAAATTGATACAAGTTGTTAATTGCCAAAGTTTCAGCAACACTTACGGTATATTACCATGGCCCTAGGAAAAATGTTATTAATTTTTGGAGCTACTAAAGAATTGAAAAATGAATTTTAAAAATTCTTTTGGTCATATGTAGCTCCTATTACTTAAAACTTTTATATATATTATGGAAAGTATTTTTCTTGTCTATATGCATGAAGTTGCATTTCAACAAATAAATAAATAGAAGACTAAAATATACACGAGTACTGATCAGTGCAAATTTTGATTGCATGAACATGGTGATAATACAGCCCAAGAGTGATAGGTTTGATCCATTGTATATAACTCAACTGCTAATACGGTAATTGTTTTTTACAGAATACTGTGTTATGATTTCTAACACTTGAGCTTTACTCAAACATTTCCTGTAATTTATGTGTCATGCTTTTGTTGATAATACAAATGTATTTTTGCTTACAGGTAACACACATTTGGTTATGCTCAACTTTTATGCTGACTGGTGCCGCTTCAGTCAAATGCTATCCCCAGTCTGGGATGAGCTTGCAGACAAAGTCAATGCACAGTTTCCTGAGCCAGGTCGTGTTGCCATAGGCAAGGTAGACTGTGAAAGGCAGCAGGATATTGCCTCGAGGTAATTTACTTCCTTCAACATATTAATATGTTCTTTATATCTATAATTCGGTCAAGATTTTTAGTGCCTTGTAATTTTACTACCCATTTTTGTCATTTTGTGTGACATTAATATGGACCATTGTCCAAATGCTTATGCCAAGCAAAAGGTTCTTGTAAGCCCTAATTAATATAAATATGTCCAATTATGTTTTTGGGCAAGTACAAATTTTTCTTATTATTGAGATTTTATTTATTTTTGCTTACAATTGTCCTGTTCAATAGTTTTTTTCTAGCAGTATTAATTTTCAGCAAGTATCAGATGTTGGAGATAATCAGCAGATGACTTGTTTGCTACAGATTCCACATCACCAAATACCCAACACTGAAGCTGCTAAGGAATGGCCAGGTGGTGAAGAAAGAGTACCGAGGTCAGCGCACGGCCGATGCTCTGGCAGAGTTTGTTGCTGAGCAGCTCAAAGATCCTGTGGTGCTGATTAAATCAATTGAAGATGTTAATGTGGCTAAGGTAAGGTTGGTGGCAGTGCATATTACATGCAACTTACGACAGAATAAATGTTGCTAAGACATGCCATGAGTCAACAAACAAAGACTATGTCTTGATTTATGATTAATTTTCATCATTTGAGTTTTCATTTGAATATTCGTCAAGTTAAGGAAAAATAGATATATTTTTTTTCCTATACAAGTAGTAATAAAATTTGCAATTTCATAGCATTGTGCCTGTTTTAAAAGCAATTCATCATATGTTTTCTTCATATTACTGTCCCCAACTTGATATTTTGTACTTCAGAAAGACAACAAGCGCACAGTGTTTGGCTTTTTTGAGAGCCAGATGCAGGAAATTCAAATCAGCAACTTCAAAAAGCTCTCCTTGGCTCTCAAGGATGACTGCAAATTCTTCATGGGCACTGGGTGAGAAAAACTGAGAATTGCCTACTTGCATAATTTTCCAATGGCATGTGGTGGATAAAATTTTACCCTATAACTGCATAAATGAGAAATTGATTGAGCACAAATATCTGTAAATCATATACAAATGTATTTATTTTTACTTTCAATTAACTGCGTTAACTGCTCCGTTTACATTTTACAGTATGAAGCACAGGTTTTAGGGGTTGATTAATAGGCCAAATGTATTTTGATTTGTTAGCATCACTGAAGGTTAAAATAATTCCTAATTGGCAGGGAGCCCGTAGAAAAGTTGCATCCGCCCGGCATGCCAGTTGTGACGTTCGTGGGCAGTGCAAGCGACGAGGATGACACCTTCCTAGGGGACCTGTCGAGCTATCCTGAGCTGCTGGCCTGGGCCACCGACCGCTGTATTCCCTTAGTCAGGGAGATCACATTCGCCGTGAGTTATTTGTTCTATCTTTTCTTCATCCTATCGAGGCTAAAATTGTTTGTGATGATCATGTAATCATGTTTAATGATTTACTTATTTTGTGAATGAAATTTGATTAACTGTGCTGCTTGGTGCGAACAATGGCGGAATTTAATAATGGTTAATCTTATCTCCCCTTACATCTTGTTTACAAGTCAAAATCGCACACATATTTCTCTGACAGTAAATCATGGTAATTCCAAATTAATTTGTATCAAATTCAAAGTAAAATTCCATCATTTTAGCTCCCGTTTCAAGTCCCATTTTCCGCCAGAACGCCGAGGAGCTCACAGAGGAAGGTTTGCCCTTCCTCATCCTCTTCCATGCACCTGATGACCTGGAGAGTCCTAAAGCCTTCCGCTCAGTTGTGGAGCGGGAGCTCACCGATGAAAAAAGTTAGCAAAGCCCGTAGTTTGATATAGTCAAGTTTATATGTACAGTAGGTTGTTTCTCTATGGAATTTTAGCCACAAAAAAATCAAGTCTGGGCATAATTTGCTTCATTATTATTAAAAAATAAATATTATGCTAAACACCTCGCGGTAGAAACTGGAGTGCTTGTCATGAATTTTGAAATTTGTTGTATCTTGAAATTCAAGTTTGATTCCAAAGCTTTGAATAGTTTTCTTACTGAGCGGCGCTAAGTGCGTGTGAGAATTGATTAAGTAGATAGATATGTAGTTAAGAAACATGAGGTATCGTCTCGGCTATGGTTGCACTTCCCGCATGTCTGGTTCATTTAATTGTTTGATAGTTGTCAGTGAATTGTCTTGCATTAATCTTTTCCTAAAATTGACATTTAAATTCTGGTAATTGACTTGATGCAGCACTTTAACTTTTAATATTTCTTTCAAACAGCAAATGTGAACTTCCTGATAGCTGATGGCATCCAGTTCGCCCACCCGCTACACCATCTGGGCAAGGACAAGAAAGACTTGCCTCTTATCGCCATAGATTCTTTCCGACATATGTACCTGTTCAAAGGTAGTGATTAGTATTATTATTAGGCTATTACTTATTTTTATTATTAGGGTATCATTTTTCTTTTTATTATTAGTCTATTATTTATTTTTATTATTATTATTAGGCAATTACTATTCTCATTATTATTTGACTATTTGCTTGCAACTTACAATATGAGTTACGCTCCTGTTTTAGTTTAAACTATCATATGGTGTGTAGACTTGGTAGCACCTTGAAAATGTGTATATTGAGTGAGTGGTAATCACTAGCTAACTTCCTACCCAACTTGGTTGATGCCGTTTTGCACGTGGGAATGTATAGAACTCGTATATAGTTTCTCGTTGGAATATATAGTAGGTATATAGTTGATTACTTTTGATGAGGTAAAGTAAAATCAACAAGAATGATTCATTTCATTTGTAAAATATAATATTGAACTATAGTCTGTTTGATATTGATATTTAGAACGCTTCCTAGATCTAAATATTTCCATACTGGTCAATTATGTTAAATCTCTAGCAACATCGTCGCACATTAGACTCCTTGCCGACATAGGTACTGATTTTGACCCAATAACTGCGATGTCATATTTTAAAATCTGTGCTTTGACGGAATTCAATACAAACTTGAGATTCATGTTGGACCGCGATGTTGCCCAGCAAGTAGCTGAGTACAAGTGAGAATGTGAAAATTGGTGTCCATCCCACAGACTACAGCAGCATGGACAAGCCTGGCGCCCTGAAGCAATTCCTGGCCGACTTGTACAGCGGCAAGCTTCACCAGGAATTCCATTACGGGCCCATGGACCCGCCTGAACAGCAGACCCAGCCTGTCGTAAGCATGAGTTTACATTCATTGTCTCGTTTTTCGCATTGATTATCTAATAATTTGTGTTAGGCTAGAAGACGTGACATAAATTTTTATATTGGCCAACCAAAGCGTTTGGCTGATGTGTTATCGAGAGATAACTTTGTTGACGCCACCTATTTCGAATAAAACTAATAATTGAACTTGACTGCAGGAGAGGAGGCTGGAAGTTGTGCAGCAGAAGAGCCCGACAACGCCTCCCGAGAGCACCTTCAAGAAGCTGGGTCCTTCCCCCAACAGATACACGCTCCTCGAAAAGCAGGAGCTTTGAGCTAACTGCTTCAATGACTATTATAGGTTCAGCATTTTGCAATCTTACATTATCCTAAACCTCCGCGCTTGTTGACAACCGAATCTTTGCGTTTCAGATCAGAATTGGTTTCTTGAAAATCTTGTTTCAGGGCTGACCTTCATTGGCCCTGACTCAGATTGGAACACATATTTTCCGGTTTTAAACATCTGTCGTGAGACTGCATTTCCAAAAGATATCTTGCATAATTCTGCGCATTGGTTTATGCCTGCAAGCATTACTCAGAAAGTTCTTTAGTGATTTTCTCCTTTGCCTTGGCCAGGCTAAAGGGTAATCGAATGTGGTATCCTCATGGCAATTTTGTATGTTAGGGTCTCGTTAGTCGTGTAATTGATTCTTCAGTGCGAACCTCTGTCCATCATGCCAGTCCTCTATTCTGTGCAATTGGCTAGTTGCGGTCAGTTTCAAGTTTCCGTAGCCAACAAATGCTATTTATGTTTGAAAATGATATATATCAGCTAAAAAAGTTCTCTTCAATCAGTTGAGCTGACGTTTAGTTAACCTCTCTTGATTTGTTCTTTCCCTCTTCCCACTAATACGCATTTATTAGCCTGTTTATATTGCAACGAAACATCGATATTTGGTAAACATGCGCCATAATTTTTCACTCCTTTCTTCCCATAACTTTTCTCCATAAATTTAGTTCCCTAATTTAACTTGCAAGTCTGAGTCATAAATCTAAATATGATGTTTTTATTCTCATCGTAGGCTTGTTCGTGCTGTTATGGTAGTCAGTTTTTGCCGTCATATCAAAGAGCTTCAATTGATGCAGTGAGATGCGCTAATTCATTCATCATTCACATGCTCATATTGAGTTGGGTGACGACCATCCATGACAACATTATCTCAGTGGATGAGGCCCCTGAATTTTGTAGAAAATGCAGTTTATTTTCATCCGTTCAGCGTTGTCAAGGCACGTTCGTTTGTGTACACTGCTAACTAATTGATGTTGATCGAGGCATTCGTGTTGGTCTGTGCTATTCGTCGTTGCTGCCACTGGGTTCTAATGATTTTAATGTCCTTTATTATAATTTATTATTCATTTGCTATAGGCTAATGTTATTCGAAAGCGAGTCCATTGTATGGGAGTCAATGAATGAGGGAATTGAGCATTTAATCGTTCAGAAGATTTTTTTAAGATTGTGTCAAGTTATCAGAGAGCTCTGATTGCCTGGCAAAATTTCAGTAGGTGTTGTCAGGGCGCAACTTTATTAAGGACCTGGTTAAAAGTTGGTAATATCGTATTATTTGCGTGTTATGAGAAGTTATTTTCACAAATTAATCATTGACTGCATCTAAATCCCAGTGCACTCCCGTATTTCTGTACTTATTAGGGGTTATTGTTGGGTAATATGTCGGTCAGTTCTTGTTAGCGATGGAGGCTGAGTTTGCAATCTTGATACAATTCGGCAATTTGTCTTCATTGAAACTGTATTCAAGCTTAATGGCTCGATGCTGTGCTGTTGGAGCCCGAAACGCTCAATAATACAGACATTGTTTTCGTAACTTTCAAGTGTAGATATCTTCTCCTGACCAGTGATCATTCATCTATAAACTTTGTTATCATAGGTGACGTTTTCCTTTTCTAACGTCCTTTGTACGAAAACCTCGTGACTATTTCAATTTGGCTCTAATTTTTTTGTTGCTTGCATTTATTCATATGGTTGATTCTGATTCGGCATGCTTTATTTATGGAATGAATTGTGCTTCCAATTTAATTGGACGAAAATTACGTGATCGTTTTCACGTTGTGTTAATTTCCTTCCCAAACTATTTTAATTGATAGACATTATTTATTTTCTGAACTCTGGAATAAATCTCGTAGCTTTACCGTGCATTTACTCTCCGATTGACCTCCAACAGATTTATATTTGACCGGTTCATCAATGCCGATCGTCTCACTTTTTTAGGTGTCTGCACCTCGTAGAAGTCCGGTGCTATTGTCTTCTGGGTTGAGGTTTCATCGGCGTGGAAAATCACTTCTATTAACCGTGTTTTGTTGAAAATGCACATCATTCCAGTATTCTGTATCGATCAGTGTGTGCGATTTTTCTCCTCTACAAGTTGTTCTCTTAAAGTTATTTTTTACGCCGTGATGGTGTGCGTGATGGCAAAATTATTTTCTGTGATCACGTGGACATGGTCATTGATTATGTTGTATTCAGTTGTGATGGTTTAAAGTCAATAAATACTGTACAATTTTACTTGGGTTTTGGAACTTTTTCTGTATAGTATTTTTTTTTTTTTTCGATGTTGGCGCTTGATATGATCTTCGTGATCCTGGTAAGAATGTAAGGACATTTTCTTAGCTTTCATTCCATGGGCATCAAGTCAAGAAAACTCTTCGATTTCCCGTCTATACCAGGGTAAAACGAGACAATTTTCCCCTGGTACTGGGTAAATACGCCATTTCTATCCCTGGAACAAGATGCATTAGCTAGTAATGTGAATCTTTTTTCGGCTTCCCACTCCCATGTTAAGAAACGTCGCTTGAAGATAGAGATCAAGAAATTTTAGGCAACAAAAACTGATTTCGCTCGCAGTAAACTTGTTCAACTTACGGCGGTGTTGGCGTTCGGCCTCTCGGTCAGGTGCAGGATGCCTGATGAATGTGATTACATTTTTAACATGGATCGTCTGACTCGCTCTGCAATAGCTACGGAAAAGTTGCATTATATGCGTTGGATTCATGAATCAATGTTAAGCCAGGAAAATCGGTAGCGCGGTTACACATAAATGAATTTACGCTTGGGAATGTAGGGATTAGTGCAAAGTTGCACAGCAAAAATGTGAATTGAAATGCTCGTAAGAAACAGGCCATTTCTGATGCAACTGAAACCTTTTCCAAGAATCTAAATGACCCAAGCATATATGAAGACATGAAAAACTAGCGAAATTCATAACGGAAATTCGCGTAATTGAAAATGTGAAATTAACTCGCTAAAGTACCCTAAAAATGCCTGTCATGCAGATCTCATAGAAATAAAACTAAGTTGAAAATCGCTTGTCCAGGATACGAGTACTTGTCAACCGACCACATCGTCTGCACTTCACTGTGCAATCGTTGCTTTGGACCGCGTGACCTTTCTTCAAGTTTCCGGCCCTCAAGTTCTGTCTCTGATGTTGTTCACATCCCATGCAGCTGATAAAAGGTTTATCACACATGAGGAATTTATATTCCGTTTTTACTTTTAGAATTGCTGGTTCACCATGTTTCGAAACATGCAATACGTCTAAAACGAATCTCGAAAATCAGGTATTCTACATAAACTGCATGAAACTTTTATACTGCAACATTAATATTTTCTCTTTTTTGACTGTTTCAAAAGAATGGGGGTATTATGCCTTTGGTATTTTGGTCTAAACTGACAGAAAATAACGGAAATTTTGTGATTGGATCGTTTCTGATACTCGGGTCCATCAGCAGTTCAAAAGCAGTTATCAGAGTCAAAAAGAAAACAGACCCAGAATATTGGTCCTCGAATACGTTGCGCACTGCAGGAGCGATAGAGAAGTTACGATATGTAGGATGAAGTTGCTCTTGTTAGTCTGAATTTGATTATCATATCGGCTATGATAAATTAAATTTCCTGCTTATAATTAATTCGTTTCTCGAACAAGTATAAATTTTGGCAGTAAAAAAATTGCATTTACGAATCAGTAAACTGCATCCGTTCTGTGTCCAGATCATTGGTAATGTCGGTGATATTTTTGGTGAGCAGCACAAACATCCACTCGAGTGAGATAATCGTTGTCAGAGTTGGGATTCCCGCCTACTAAAGTAATAATGCACCAACCAGATTTTACTCTGTTCACCTGGTCTAATTCTCCATTTTTAATGATGGGCACACAAATTCCAAGCCCGTTAATCATTCTTACTTGAAACCTACACATTCTTACTTGAATTCCTCCTGAGTGATACTACACAGAACTCGTACTATTTAACGCCGGCTCTCGATGTGATAATAAAATATGGATACGACATACACAATACGATAATTTATCGGTAAAAGTAATTATTCAAATTATAATTCATCTCTGCTCTGCGCCCTCACGGGCTGTTGGCCAGGAGAACACTCAAGCATGCGCATTATTATACGAGAATTTTTTTTTCTGTTCGCGATGATTTATTCCGCCATCACCTCTTTGAGATGCTGAAGCTAGCAGTCACTCTTCCGCGACACACAATTTATTTACTTCGTAAAATTCAGAATAAGACATGTGTGGGAATTTTTTGTCGAAATTATTTTGCGTTATATTGTTTTTGTTGGGATGTCAAGTCAATATTTTCATGCCAGACTAAACTCAACAATTGATCTTTGAATATTAAATGCATATTTCGTCATGAAATTTATAACAAATCATGACTAAATGTACTTATGGCGCAGCAAAGGAACGTTATTTAAAATATCTCTGTTATTTTTACACATGCCTTGAATTGGCGACGTAGCAGTGTGTCAGTTATCCCTGAAAGTGCCTTTAATTATACTCCCGAGGGCACGTCACGATGTTTGATCGTCTTCTAAGAATGCAGCTCGGTCCCGAGAATAAACGCTACTATGATCAGTGGCTTCTTTGTGCGAGCCTCTCGCTCTGCAATGCAGGCGAGCTACAGAACCCGACACCATTTATTTAATTTTAAGATTCAGTTATTTATTGAGCCTCAAATATATAATTATATCATATCATCCACAATTATTCCAAAAATATCTCCCGACTCTGAATGCTTCTAGCCTTTGCAAATCCGAAGTACCAAATGAAAAAAAAAACTGGAAGAGTTTTTCCCAATGAAGACTATAGAATTGATGGGCTAGGATGAAAATCGATGCACACCGAGCGCCAAACTTGCTTGGCAGGATGCTGTATCAGAGCGCGTCGCATGTTCTTGTCGCAGTTTGACTCAAAAATTCAATGTCACTCAATTGCTTGATTCGCAGATAAACCAAAAATAAGAAAGTGAAGAAAAGCCATAAAAAAATTCCCGATATCTTTACAGTAAACGTTTCGGAGTGCAGCTTCAGGTATTCTTCGACCTTAAACAACCAAACTTTTGTCACGTGCGAAAAGAAAGACAGTAAGTTGTGGAAATGACGTTCTAGACGGCATGAATGCTTTGTCGTAGATAGCGACAAGCAGTGGCACGAGGCTGGCGATAGTGGGGCGGGTGAAGCAGCGTTCAGGGAGGCTGCAGTGCTCTGTAGACACTCCAGAGTTTGGCAGCGGTGCGAGAAGTCTGCTTAATAACCAATTCTAAGGTGAGTTTTTGATTGTGAATTATGTTTCTGGGGGATTTCCCTGTTAAATAATTATTAGAGTGGTTCAATAGCCAATTTTGCAGTATGAAGACACATAAAATATAAGTTTTAAAAGTAAAGGCTTGGCAGCACAAAGACATTGTTGAGATAATTATGTTAAATTAGCCCAATCAAATTTAAAAGTTTCGTCGAAGGAATAACATCAAATAAGGTTTGAGATACACAAACTTCTATAATTCAGATTCATATAGGAAGCGTAATCCCAAACGCTTTAACGCTAGATGAAAGCTAGAAATTCTACGATTTTGGACGTCGAGATACATACATTTTAGAGGATTGGTCAAAATATTTATTCTATATATGCTCAAAATGAATCACAAGTTACGACGAATAACTACATGATATTTGAACAATGCGCCATTTTAGACTATTCGAGTTTCCTCAAGGTTTGTCACAACTCACAAACGAAGAAGAATTATAAAGGCACGTCTCTAACTATTCCGCGGGAAAACATAGAAATTCGATGAAATTCGAATTTTGGAAATCAGTAAAAGAAAGTAATAAACTATGGGATACATTTACTCCTATGAATTTTCAAAAGTTTTGTTTACTGAAGGAGTAAATCGCAATTGCAATATCTATTAAATACAGTCACTACGCGGAATAAATGTTACATAATTTGAATTCAAACCTTCGAATGTAAAGAGAAATTATATATCCTAAATTTAATTCAATCTCATTAAGTTACTCTATTCGATTTAATAAATATTGCTACCACTAAAAGCGTCAATTTCCATGTCTGAGTTAAAAAGTGCATTTAAATGCTCATATTTTAATTGCCTATTAGGCGTGATAGCGGATGACGCTACACGTATTGAACGATGGTCAAATAATTTGTGATTAACAGCGTCCATATTTGGTAAATAGCCCACTAAATAAGGGTTTATGATGTCACACTTCAGTGTCAAATATGTCTCATTTTCCGCAATGAAGGCTACCAAGAAGATGATACGTCGGAGTGCGGTGTTGCTGTTGCTGCTGCTGATGCAGTTACAGAGTTACGACGCTAGCGATCTGAACTCGATCCTTCCTATAGCCCAACAACTGGGCAAGTAAGTATACGATATTCAATGTCTATTTTTAAAGATTTTACTTTAAGTGAAAGTCGTCTATAACATTATGCTACCGTCTATTTCATAAAATTCAAAGGGCAAGTGAGTATACGATATTCAATGTCAATTTTTAAAGATTTTACTTTAAGTGGAAGCCGTCTATAACATTATGCTACCGTCTATTTCATAAAATTCAAATATTTTATGGGATTTTGTCTAAAAAAGTTCGACCCTGCAGATTTTGATAATTGATAGTTGCTCGAGAATAACTCAATTAGAATAAACAAATCTGTATTATTGCTCGTATAATCGTGTTATTATTTTTACTGTTCATCATCAAACAGATGCAAAAGTTGAAATTTCTTTATTTTCCAATTAGGAAAGGCGCATAACAAAGTTTCCGCTACTTTCTATGAATAGGTAAATTTCAGCGAACTATTTAATTCGTTTTATAAATATTAAACATGTAGGGAAGCAATGAGGCTTTTGACAATTATTTCTGCAGATGTTATTCCAACACTCAAGCTTGGAAATTTCGAGCTTGTTTCAATTTATAGTAGCTACATTTTAGTGATGTACATTTCAAACTATTTTGCCATGTAAATTTATGTTTGATTCACCTGATGTTGGCGCAGCTTTTGGCAATCCAATGAGCTGCAGTTCTTGGGCTTCCAGTGCTACTACCATCAACATCTGCGCTTCAGACGCTGGCGGTTTCGTTTTCACGGCAGCTTCTCATGCCCTGGATGGACTAACATCCACGGCGAATGTAAGTGAACATGTTATGTTTCCATGGCGAATTTAGGTGAACATGCCATGTTTCCATGGCGAATGTAGGTGAACATGCCATGTTTCCCTGGCGAATGTAAGTGAACATGTCATGTTTCCCTGGCGAATGTAAGTGAACATGTCATGCTTCCCTGGCGAATGGAGGTGAACATGCCATGTTTCCCTGGCGAATGTAAGTGAACATGTCATGTTTCCCTGGCGAATGTAAGTGAACATGTCATGTTTCCCTGGCGAATGTAAGTAAACATGTCATGTTTCCCCGGCGAATGTAGGTGAACATGTCATGTTTCCCCGACGAATGTAGGTGAAAACGTCATATTTCTTGATACCCAATGCTTCAATGCTCATTTAAATGGTATGTCTATGTATATACAGGCTATTGTCAAATGAAAAATAATATTCGAGTTGCATGACAACCTTAAATGTTTTTCTTTGTATTTCAAGATGACACGGTAAGCCGCAACGGCGTTCAACGGAAAACCATAGAAGACTTTCTCAAGAAAGCAACTGCAGCAAACCTGGTCACTGAGGACGAGGCGCGGGCTTGGCTACAAGGATTTTAAATTCTGAAAAATATTGATGACTTCTTGGTCGATCGAAAAATTTTTTATCATAACTTGGTGCCTGTTCTTCGCCCAAAAATTCGAGAAATTGCTACTTTTTTTAGGAAAAATTCTAAGCCTATAAAACACCGTCTGGCATAATTAAAATTTGTATATATGATCTAATATATTTTCCCAACCTCAAAACTCAAGATCAGGTACACCACTGATAACCAAACCATTATTTTTCGATTTCCACAGTTGGATTCCAGCGTAATAGCCATCTTAAAAGCACTCACCAAATACAATCAACTAATAATGAACACATGTCATGAATAAGAAGTGGTTGTTCGTTTTATTATACCTAATGTGTACCAAAAATTATAAAATTATTTAAATTTACTGTTTAGATTTTAACGGTTAGCCGGTGGACCTGGTGAATTGCGCGTAGCAAGTGTTGCAAGTCGCTGCCAGTTTATCTTGTGTAAAGCAGTCAATAAATTTCTGGATTAAAAACACACAACTATAAATCTTTCAGACTCTAAAAGTATACGCTCACCACCTGGAAAACTGTACAACTAGTGGTCCCTATACCTCAGTTTGGAAACAACAGCCCAGCAAACATTTTGATTTAATTCTTGACACACAGGAGACCTAAAACCCCTTATCGGAGCAGTGCTCAACCGTTGAGTTCTAGCGTAAAATGATCCAATGAATTTTACTCTCTAATTGTTGGTAGATTGAGATTGAATTTGATCTTTTTATCTTGATGATCTTGATTTTTCTTCAAGACCATCATGAATAAAAAATCCAATAATAGTTTACAAAGTCATTTATTGGAATAAATTGCCGCTTCATGTCTTCATGATATTTCTTTTCGAAACGGCTTACCCATTCTTTAATTAGGCACGACTTTATTAGACATATAATCTGAGTAAAAATTTTATATTATCGCCGATAAAGCGTAATATTGAAAATTTTCCGTACGGGGATTCGTTCACTGAAGAGATTAATTACGAGGAATAAGCTTGAATTTTGAGGGGATTAAATTTTAAGCGTCTCAAAAGTATATAGAAACTACATATAATATAAAATGAAATAAAGTTACAAGTAATATTGGGTTATATATATAAAATCAGTGGTCGTAGGAGTCGTTGTTCTAAAAGAATTCTTTTAGTTTTATCATTCAGCTACCACGATTTTCAATTTCCCATGCACCACGCAAATCAACTCGGCGAGCAATTGTAGTATCAGAAGAAACTAAATTTAATGCAAAATCCTCTGTTCAAGCTTAGCTCAAGCGTTCGAAAGTATAAGATTTAACCGCTGTAATATAACGAAAATTTACTATATTTAAGCGCTGAAATACCCCTGAGGATATGCATAGCTCCCGACGATGATGCTATAAGATCTTCTAATGAATGAGCTTATGTGTGCATAGCAATTAAGTGAAACTAATTTTCTATACATCAAATTCATTTTTTATTAAATTAGGAATGAAATTCTATTTATTACCTATAATATTATTACAGTCTAAACATTAATTGATAATAATTAAAGTATCAACTACTACCTTAAATCATGTATTTGCTGTGTTCGATAGTGAAAATAAGAACTTGCGAGCAACTGACAGGAAGGAAAAGGCTGTTTAGTGAACGCGGTTCCTTTTTCATTTGCCGTGGCAACGGCGCGACAAGAAGACATGCGAAACTTTTTCTTCGGCTGGCAGAAGTTGCTATTAGGAGGAAGAAAATGTTCGTGCAGGACAGGAACATTAACGACGGCCAATAAACAGGGGAGCACAATAAAATTTAGTTTAAAATTTTGTTGATTAAAACCGGTTTAGAGTTGGAATACCTTTTAGGTTTACTCGAATGTACATTTCAAGTAAAAAATTGATTCTTAAATATTCCATATACCAAAAACTTTTATACACATTTCTCAAAACTAAAGATGTAGTACTTCATAAAACATCAATACAATGATCACTGAAATACTATGCGTAAATTCGCAAGTGGCTATCTAGTTTATCTTACTTTCGAAAAAATTAATAAATGTTGTTAATGCATGTAAACACAATCTGCGGGAAAATTACATGACTCGAGTTGTAATTAAAAAATATATTTATAGATATATACACGTGCGATTGATGACCAGAGAGAATTAGTTGATTTATATTATCAAGGAATGAAACTTTTCTTCAGATGACGGTAGATCAAAAGGCAAATTTCAGGAAGTAGTCTTTCTTTATTAACGACGTTTCGAATGCAACAAACATTCATTTTCAAGTTAAAGAAGCATTAAACATTGAAATTTTGATGGAAATAAGTACATAATATAAGTAACTAGGATACAACAGTAAAATTATGGACCAAAAATTACTCGGAAAATTCTTTCAGAGTTCAGACAAATCCGGTAGTCAGAAAATAGATAGCTGGGATCCAATCTGTAGAGATGAGGGGTTCAGCTATCGCCGGTTGTTTGTTGTCGGGCCACTGCATGATCACGATGCTGGTGAGTACGTTCAGCACAATGCGAGTGACGGTCTGGTTGTAAGCTTGTGTTGCTCTTGGTTTGAAATTTGACGTTGTTGTCAAGGGTGTCACGAAGCCTGTTGAATTCATCGACGATTTTGAGATGAACTTGCTTGTTGATAATGCTTTGAGACCTGCTATGGTTGTGAGCTTGTCTCTGGTGGTAGGAGAAACGGCAGTTCAATGTCGCAGTTGTTACTCCAATAAACCTAATGTAATCCATAACGTGAAGAAGTCTACAACCTTCTTTGAAGTAAAATTTATCGAATACACCGGCCTCTTGGAGAACTCTCGCTTTTTTGCAGGAGCCGTAGTTCGGTAAAGTCCGGGGTTTAATTTTGTTGCCAAGGGTGTCACGGAGCCTATCGAATTCATCGACGATCATGAGTTGATGCTGCTCGATTGTATTACTTTGAGACCAGGTCTGCTTGTGAGCTTGTCTCTGGTGGTAGGAGAAACGGCTGTCCAATGTCGTAGTTGTTCCTGCAATCACCCGAATGTAATCCAAATAATGAAGAAGTCTACAACCTTCTTTGGGGCAAAATTTACAGATTACACCAGTCTCTCGCAGAACTCCCACTTCTTTGCAATGGCCATTGCTCAGTATAGTCCAGGGTTTGACGGTGTGGTCATGGGTGTCACGGAGCCAGTTCAATTCGTCGATGTTCTCGAGATGAAGCTGCTCGATTGTAATATTTTGAGGTCGGTTCAGATACTTTTTGGAATCTCCAGATTTCATATTTATGACTTCACTCTTGATGTTTCTCGAAATTAGTTCAGTTCTGCGTCTCACAGTTGTCATTTTATCTCTAGCTGCCGGGACTTGGGTGCAGAAAATAGTATTAGATGGCAGAATTTAATTGTTTATACACGTGCGATTGATGACCAGAGAATTAGTTGATTTATATTATCAAGGAATGTAACTTTTCTTCAGATGACGGTAGATCAAAAGGCAAATTTCAGGAAGTATAGATATATATAAACATATCTATCTACAGAATAGTAATATCTAAATCTTTTGTTTACAAGTTTTCTATGGGGTCTAAAGTATGTGGTTCTGAGTTTTTCTTGTGAAAAGAGTAAATAGTTTATAATGATGCAAAGCAGATAGGATGATAAATGCTTTTTCACAACTAGCAATTATAAAGAAACCGTACGAACCCAGGTTTTTAGTTGATGCTTCGAATGAATATGAGTAAACATGGGTTTATAATAATTGAAGTCGGAAATACATTTGACTAAATATCAATTTTTTTGCTTGAATGTTTGAGATGTAGAAGAAATGTAATGAATTCCAATGAAGTTTATTCCCTTTGACGTATAAAAAAAATAGTTGATATCTCGATTGAATTCAATAATATTAATTTGTTATTGTATTTTGTTTTTAAGGCAATAATTAGCTAGATAGTCAACCAGTTAATATTTAATTGAAAATAGTAAATATTGATAGTGAATAGTCGACTCTTAGATCAATATGCAAGAACCAATTTCATAAATGAGACTCATTCGATCACGAAATAACAATCACAATATAGTAAAAATAAAAAAAAAAGAATGGCAATAAGTCTTGACACACACTCTTAGGTTCATCACAGCCAACTCGTAATTCTACCTCAGAAACAATTTGCTACTTGTCATATTGTTTTTACAAATATTGCTGGATTGGATTATAACTGAATATTTTTATTTCTATGAGTAACATTTATTTTTAAGAGTAACATTTATTTTCAAGAGTAACATTTATATTTTTAAGAGTAACAAAATTCGGTGAAGTTAACTGAGGCAGCTTCCTATAACTCATGCTGAACCTTGGGACAGACCAAACGTTCTTCCCGCTCTCTGACGTGCAGGGTAGTGGCCATAAAAGCAATAGCAGCGCCTGCAAGCGGCACACATCAGCAACAGGGGCTCCCAGCTACAGGTTCCCTGCCGCCGTGGTTGCAGGTCTCGCTGACTAACCTTCTCACATCCGCTAACTAAACTTCAGTGACTTTGATAGGAATGGTGAGTTTGAATGAGAAGTTATGCACACAGGTGAAGATTAGGCAAAAATGAAAAGTGATTGGTAGTTAAGATTTCTTTATTTGAAACTTTAATTAAATAGTGACCTAGGAATTTTCAAAACCGCAAAATGTTGTATCAAGCACAAACGTCTCTACAGCTTTCAATTTACATTAATAAAATAAGTATGCGAATTTTAAGTTTTTGATAAAATTTCCCTGCTGTCCATATGGATGAAGCTTAAATCTCATTTTTGCATGATTCTTTTCTGTCCTACGTGACTAGACGAAACTTTACAACGGATGCTAGCAAGCAACGGATGTTCATATCATTGTAACTGCGTCGTTAACACACGTCGAGTGACTCATAACGATTTGTTTGTCCGCGATGCAGTCACCGAAGTTCTCCTTGTAAGATCAGTTTAAGAATATACATAAGTGAGAACTTAGGTGATCCGCAACGATTTAAATTCAAAATCCACTTACAATGGCGAAACTTTTGGATTATCAGCTGAAGAATGTAAAACTAGTATCTCTTCATTAAATTGTCGGAAGCGGGATTTTGACTAGGAGAAATATCACAGGATTTTAATAGCACGATTGTGAATGACTATAAAAACTTATATTATATAACTGCATATACTTTTTTCGTTATGCTACAGGCTGGTAAATGTTTACTGATCAGCGGCGGCTTGCTGCTGCTGCTGCTCGTGCTGCAGCCGCAGCCTACCAGCACTCAGTCTTTGGGCCCGTTGGTGCCAGCGCTTGCTGATCAACTTGTCTCGTAAGGAATTCTTTACTTTTATTTAATTTATTACTGTATAGAAAATTAGGTCTTATAGGTGGGGAAAATGACATAATATCTCTTCATTATCATTTAAATTTGTTTGAATACACTCTCTACTAATAATTCCAGTCTGGAGACACTTTAAAATTCATAAAATTTCTGTGTTATTGTTTAACATATATCATTAGTAATATTAAAATTGTATTGAATAATGAATATTCTACTAATAATTAATTGCACCTTGATCCGGCGTTTCTTAGAGAAGATAAATTCTAAGACTCGAGATAATCCAATCCCCTTTCCCATTATCCCTTGTGATGATTTTCAAACTAATTGGTTAACTTAATATCAATAAAAGAAAGGCCCTTTACATAAACGCGCTCTCAGATTGGAGTTGTAAATTACCACCGGTTCTACATTAGAGGTTCACATTAATATCTTATTTATTACACACACTTATAAAATGTTCACACTTACAAAATCAAAATCTCACGATTGAACAACAAGGTAAATATGTTCGATTCAGGCAATATTCGGACTCGATAAGTAGGGTGCATGGATACGTGCTCGAACGGTCCCTATATCCACTCGCATTCACGACGTCAGGTTTCAGCTGTCCAAAACCATCAACAAATAAACAAAAACTTTCAAAGTCATACCATAGAATATATAAGAATATTCTAACCTGTACTTAAATGCGAATTTCTTTGTGTGTTTTATTTTTATTGTGTTGCTTGCGCAGCCTGTGGCAGAACAACGAGCTACAATTCATGGGCTTTCAATGCTTCTACCAGCAAAACCCGCGCATTAAAAGATGGCAGCTTTATTTTCGGGGTAATTTCATGTGCCCAGGGTGGACGGCAATACAAGGCAGAGGTAAATAAGGCAGGGATTCAACTGCAATATAATAGGAAATATTGATTTTTCTATTATAATTACAGGTAGGTAGCCACAATGACGGATAATTAAAAACTTTTCTTAATGTTATCATTGATAAAAAATACTAATGAAACATCAATAAGGAATACATACATTGCAACAGATTATGCCAGCATCATGGAACCACACTGTTAAAAATTTTGCTCCTTATGATGGTAATACCGTAATAGTTATATTGCATATTTATCTCCCTGTAAAGCTGAGACCCGCAGCAGAAGCGGAGTCTTGCGTGACACCATCGAAGACTTCCTCAACAAGATCACGGCTGCGAACCTGGTCACAGCCGACGAGGCGAGAGCGTGGCTAGCTGGCTTCTGAATGCTACGAAAAAAAAACACAGAAAGTGACGTGTAATAAGCTAGAATTGTAGGAAATCCAACCAAAATTTTTAACAAAGTCATGACAAAGTCGCCGAAAACCAGGGAATCGACGGAACTTTTATTTTAATAAAATATACGTTTAAAAATTACTTTTTTAAGACAACACTCCTAAAGAATCCAGTGTCTCCGATGTTACATATGTACAATGAATTTCTAATTTTATTTTAAAATATTAAGAGCAATTAATTTGATTATTAAATTTCCTAATATATAAAAAATTAAAATGCAAAATTTATTTATTCTGTCATACATTGATTGATTGATTTATTTATTCTGTCAATTGATTCCTGCATTGTCTCCAACTTTACGCAAGTGTGCAAAATTTCAGCAATCTGCCAGTTCGGATTCGTTATCCAGTTGTAGTAAGAACGTTTTCAAACAATGATGCGTTTTTTGCGTGTTCGTTTTTTTTTCGCATTACAACAACATACAATGAGGATATAGGTCTTAAGAAAGGTCAGGTTCAAAACGTAATAGTTGGTGTAGGAATGGATATTAAATCTTATTAAGAACGATCACCGGATACCGCAGTCCTATACTTTCAACTTCAAGGAGACCACAGTTCTACTTTCATCATTGCTATGAAGGCGAGAGCCTTTTTAGCGATTGTTACATATTCAACTTTGAACCAATTATTATATTATTAAAATCTCATTATTGATTGCTGAGCATAATTGCTCACTTGTTGGAAATTGGCATGAAGCAATTTTAGAATTATTACTTTAATATGTTTTGCTATTTATATTATTTAAATTGTTCAAGGTCTCAATTTTGAGTTACACGTGAAGAGAAAATTCAGAGTACATTTTTCATTGACAGACAATTTAAGATTATCATTAAATATTATGATAATGCTTCTCATTCAGGTCCGACAAAATCCAAGGTAGCATTTCAAGACTGTTACAAAACTTAGGTTTTGGTGATATGAAAGAATGACGTACACGTTTGCCCCAATTTCTTCTTTCCGAGAATAATTAAACCCCGTACCAACCTATCGAACATCGTTACATGTTACTAATATAAATATAATCACAATAATAATCTATTTATTCAAATTCAGTTCGCTTGCGTTAATATATATTCTATTTATTATTATTATTACGCTATTAAATATATAACCCCGTTAGCTATTCTTATGTTATAAGGTATTTAATCAAATCCGAGAATCATGGGCAATGTGAAATCTATGTTCTATAATCACCTTATAATGAAGTCTATTGTACTTCGTTCAGAGTAACGTTTATTTGGAAATAACATTATATAACTATTAACTGCTTTTATATTGAAATTTCTACATACTCCTATATCAAAAGATAACTTCAATAACATACGACGATGACCAAGAGGACTTCATTGAAAACAATGTAATCCTTAATAGAACATTATACCCAAAGTTTCGTTTTAATTAACCGCAGCCATGGCTTACGATGAAAAATCCACTCCTGACGTTAAAAGACGTCATTAGAAAAATGATTAATATGGTTATGACGTGGACGCTGAACTTGCAAGTAATGTTATATCAAGGGTTCAAGACCCTGAACTTGCAAGTAATGTTATATCATGGGTTCAAGACCCTGAACTTGCAAGGAATGTTATATCATGGGTTCACAACTCTGAACTTGCAAGTAATGTTATATTTACATAAACGGAGCCTCATATATTAGCAGCTTAGAATGAGGGCACGAATTTTTGCAGAAAAAAAATATCCCAGAATGCATTAAGATATTGAGTTTAGGTCCATGAATAAAAACATTGTTGGCCTTCGGAATAAAATTCAATATTACGAGTAAAACACATATAATTGCATATATTAATTGTGAGTCGATGAAAAAATCCCAAAAGTTAAAGTGCTCATTATAATTGAAGTATTTCATCACAGGATTAATGAGCAGGATTTCTTAGTAACTATTTCATACATAAAAATATGGAAAATTTCGTGACTGCATAAAAATCACTTCAAGTACGTGGCAGAAACTTTAAAAAAATAATTCGCGGAGCATATACGTACGTGGCCGTTTCACAGGCTCTGAAGTTCACTTTGTCTCTATTTGTTTAAAATCTGAAGAAACATTTACCCGGTTAATTGGAATGAAGAAGAATAATACATTAACCAATTGATTTCCATTAATTAAAAATATGCATTTTTATTCAGAGTTTAGGGTAACTATTTTGCTGTATAGGTAGGATCTTGCCCTCCGTCTCTTTCATATGCTACTATGTCTTTACCACTAACTAAAGAATGAAACGATATATGGTGAAACTTTTGACCTCTGAAAAACATGAAAAAACTAACTTGAGGGGCCTTTAGTAATTTTCAACTGCAGTATTTGCAACTTTAAGCTATTAATTGATAGCGTTTTTATCGTGACTTAGATTGACAGACATGCCCAGTTATTTGAGTTATCCTGCAAATCATTATTGGCTTGTCTACTGGGAACAAAATCAGAATAGCGCCCATAAGTTCTGATTAAATTGTCGAATGAATAAATTTGCATGCGATGCAAAGAATAAAACTATTACCGTTGCTTTCATTTAGCGGATGATACTTCTTGAAGCCGATATATTAAATTAAATTCACTTTGGTTCCGAAAATGAGAACGCGACAGTACTCGAGAGTAGTATGATTACTTCATAATTAATGTCTTCTAATAGACATAACCCGAACGTTTATGCGTGTTAGATATATTTTTTAGATAGATTTGCCAAAGTAAGAACAATAATTAGGACGATAAATGCTAATTCGAATCATTTGGGGCCAGTAACTAAAAAAAACAAGAGTTTTAAAAAAAATTCTCATTGATTGGTTGTTGAAAAGTTTCCTAGAACTTTATTAAATTTCACAGAATTTATATTCTAGACATGAATGCCATTTAAGAAAAGCGTACAAGTTCCATTATGATTTATTACTTAATATTTTGATCATTTTCAATCTATCTGTCAAAAAACTTGGCGCTGAAACCCTGCGATGTCTAACGATTTTTTACTGCGATCGTTGTTAACACAACCATCTAATATGGGCTCTGCAGAGTCGCATTTATATAGGAAACTGTATATAAATATACAGGTTACATATAGAGATGGGATTGCTGAAAATTACTTGCTTTTTTGTAATGCATAAGAGGCATATGTAATTATGGCCTCGGCCTTATTATTATTTTTTTTTTTTTGTGCAAGACATTGCGATGAGATAAGAAACTGACCCAGAATTTGGGAGTGCTACTTAGTTGTATAAATTTAGGCTAGGTGTCAGTGGACGAACTGGCTTTGTTCTTTATTATGAATGTTATTGCGTATAACTTCATGCGCTAGGTAGCTCAGTTTTAAAGCATTACATTGCAATCAGATCCGGAAACGAACGCTCTCTAATATCAGTGTTTATCGCTTTCTTTGTCAAGGTTCAGGAAAAAATACATTTCTCAGAAGCAGAATCAGGAAAGCATCCTGCGCCAGAAGAGGCGTACGTACGTGCATCAACGAACGTATTTCCCCAGTGGACGATTCGATCGCTGCAGCGCTTCTTCTCTTCTTTCTTTTTGCAAGCTGAAGAACTGCTACTCCCACTGCCAATATGGAGGTTGTCCGCGCACTGAGAGGTTGGTAGCCGACGACAGCTATCTTAGTAATTAGACAATTTATAATGTTGACCAATTTTTCTATGCATTTAGAATTTATATCTATTCATGTGATCACAATAATTTTGTATCCAAAAATTTTAGTATTTATTTCAGCGTTTTTTTTTATAAAAATTCATCCCAATAAAAGTCGATTAAGTTTTAATTTGGAAACATTATATTGCCAAAAGCTGTAAAAATGTGTGCTCATCTATTCGCTTATAATAATTGTTATTCGGAATAGCTTTTCAGGCTTAAATTTCGACGGAAGTCTCCTAAAACAGTGACATTAATATCAGGTATACATGAGTGTACACAAGTTGAATATATTTTTGTTTCAGGGAAGTGTCCAAAATTTACGTCGGAACAATCTTTCAAGGAACGTCCAGCGGTGCTATTTTGTGTCGCGAACAATGGTAAGATTAGTGCCGGTAGTTAATAAATATTTTTAGTTGTCCCATTTGACTAATATTGTAAAATGTTTTCCTGATTCTAAGACAATTTTTTGCATCGGAAGATATTTATGGCATCAATATTTTTTCACTTATCCATCGGAAAATAAACTGATATTATGACATTTTTGCTGAAATCCGTTATTCTCCCATTGTTTGCTACTAACAACAACTGTGCAACCGTTACATCCAGTTATTCAGCCTATAGTCGCATGGTTACTTAATCATCCTATGAGATGGACTTAATGCGCAATGAAACTTTGGTAAAGGGAACACTGACAATTATATTACAATAATTAGAAACAAATGTTCAAGCGACAGCCAGTCATGGGCCCAAAACCACTGCCACAGCCACGGATTAAAGTTATTTTGCATCTAGGTCTGCAAAAGTTGAAGTTCTATAATATATAATAGTAAATCCTAGCACAATTTAACTTGGAAAAGGCTGCTTACTAATATACAAGGTTACTAATATGAAGACAATGTTGCTTAATATGATAATAAATATGTCCAGCGTTTCCATACCGTACTGTTCTGGACAGCGTCGAGACCAAAAGTGACACGTGGTGAGGGAGCGATACTGAAAACTACTCAGATGAACGGACCCTCGTGAAGCGGGCAACGGGCTGAGGCTTGCCAGGTGGGACGCTCATGTCCACCAGCTTATACGAATGATTTTATACATCATGCTGCCTCTGCTTGCCGCCCTTCTTTGCAGGAGGGACTCGAGGTCTAATTTTACCACCATTGATGAAGCGCTTAACTGAGGGCTAAATTCCCCTAGGATAAGTCTTGCAGATCTGCGCTGGACTGTCTCCAGCGTGGACAAGGTTCTGATAGTGTGGGTCCTACACGCGCGATGCGCACTCTATAGTCTATAGGATCGGTTGGACCATGCCCTTATATGGCAGTGTGTCTGGACACTCATGCTGCCTCCCTTTAGATTTCAGTGGATAAAGGCGCTTTTTCTTGAGGCTTTTGCTACAAATGACCCCCAGTGCAGGTTGTTGTTTATGGTAACACCAAGACGCTTGGCGTCAGCGACGAACTCCAACGTATGGCCGTGCAGAGTATAAATGGAATGTTTAGGGGACCTCATTTTTGTAACTTAGAGGAGGTGGTAGTTCTCGACGTTGAACGCCACCTGCCATGTGTATTACGATACTCCCAGCTTGTTGAGGTCATCTTGAAGGAGAACAACGTCGTGCAGGGCTTCTGATGTGGGAGTAAAGCACGGTATCGTCCGCAAAGAGTCTAACCTTGGCTCGGATTCCGTCACATAAATACGTTGACATTGATCAAAAATAGAGATAGGCTCCAAAACGGAACCTGGAGGCCCTCCTGAGATAACTGGCCCGATGCTAGAGCTCTCACCTTCGACAACGACTTGCTGGGCGCTGTCTGAGAGGAAGTTGGAAATCCAACTCTAAGTTGGAAATCAAACCTTATCAAAGGCCTTGAAAAATTCGAGCAGGATCATGTCGGCCTGCCTTTGTCGAGCTCTGCCGCAAGGTCACCCATGCACCGTCAGGATCAGCTGGGTTTCACAGGATCTCTTCTTCCGGAAGCCGAGTTATGCGTCTCTAAGAATGCTGTTTCGGTCCGAGGGGAACGTAATATCCAATCTGACGATAGGCTCCAGGAGCTTACAGCATACGCTGTAAGATACCTTTTCACTGTTGAGATGGGACAGTAGTTTACCACCAGTCACAACAACAAAAGTAGTTGGCCACCTAAAGAGCCAGTAGTTTGCCACCTGTCCCTTCCTGAATACCGGCTGCAATAGGGCGTGCTTCCAAATGGCGGGAACGTCTTCTGTGGACAGCGACGTGTCGAATAGAGTCGTAAAAGCAAGTGCTAAGTGCTAGTTCAGCATCCGTCTCTATCAGAAGTCGACATGGGATCTTGTCCGGACCGGCAGCTTTACTGGGGTTAAGGCTGGAGAGGAGTTTCCGAAATCCAGTGGTGGTTACACTGGTGTCTGCAATGTTTGGGTGAGGGCCGTTGGCCAGAGTCGGTAAGTCGGAGAACTCTTCTCTGGTAAAAGTGCTGCAAAATTGATCGTTGAGGATGCCTGCTTCGCCCAGCCGCCGCTAAACGTCAGTTTAGCGGCGGGGGGGGGGGGGGGGACACCCATCGTGTCGCATCGCCGGCTTTTGACAAGACCCCAAGAGGTTGTTACTTGCGTCCTATTCCACAAAGCGCTTGATGTACTGCTGGTAGCACTGTTGTCGGTGCGTCGTGCTTATTTTTCTCTCTGAAGCGCTCGAAATCTTGTTCCCTGTTGCTTGACTTTGTGCTTCTCCAAGCCCTTTACTTGCCACGGTAAATCCTTTTCAGCTTCGTGATGATTTAGGGATGATGGTTCTTGGTGGAGTATATTTTGGTCGGGATGTGTTTTACCATCACTGAGGTTAGGTGGGTTTGGATCGCTCGCCACATTTGATCCAATCTGAGCTCTGGGCTGATGGACTCGCTAAATAAAGGTCGCAGTCTCAGTCCTGGCGGCATCAAAATTCGTCTTCTTCCAGATGCTTACGAGCCTGAATACTGGTTTAATTCTGATTGCCTTGATCTTGCTGTCGACGAGGATGATGTCATTATCGCCCAGCGGTGGGAGTGTGGTACACTTGGAAATTAGGCCAGATCTGTTGGTGATGAAGAGATCAAAGATTTTGTCATCCCTGTTAGGCTTAGTGTGTACTTGGTGCAGTCTTAGGTCACTGGGCGGTAGACATAACCAACAATGAGTGGTTAAGTCTTCTTGGTAGTCTTGATAGAGACGAACGGCTTCGGTTAACTATCCGGTCAGGACTTCGTAGAAGATAAGTGCGGATTTCACAGCAACCAAAGCGCCTGCTTACATTCGGCCACTTCTCCTGTTATTCCGGTAGACACTGTAAGCAGGGAGAAGAATTCTAAACTGTTTTTTTTCGTTTCAGCCAGGTTTCTGTCCCCAATATGATGTGTGTTGCCGTGGATGTCAAGAGGTTTAGGAGCTATATAGGCCTTCATGGGTCACAGGCTTAGATAGTTGATTACCAGGATTCGAAGAGAGGAGGAAACTTCCAGAGGCTTTGGTAGTAAAGACAAGTCATTTGACGATGGAGAGGAGGACGTTAATAGGGATAAATCTGGGGTAGTGGTGATGTGACGGGGTATGGATATGTAAAGTGATGGACGGCCTAGCTGAATATCACCAGGTGAGCCATGGAGTGAGCCCCCAAATCCGGGGTTGGAGGGAATGGGGAATTAAATTGTGTCGAGGCTCTTGATATGTGTTTTGTTGATTGATGTGACGCAGAAAGGACTCCGGAGTTTTCTGTATTAAACTGGGAGCTAGGTGACGATATGTCTTGCGATTGGAAAGGATGGTGCTATGGGTCGGACACCGGACTGCCGGACGAGGTGAAAATGGGTTAAGGAAGAGCCGCTTCTGGTTGGAGTTGATTGGTTACTTGTACCATTGCATCGCCGTGGGTGCTGTGGTCCTAGTCTTGCCGCACGAGAATCAGGTCCGGTCATTCCAACGCAATTGGTGTGGTACTATGCTTCACATGCAGTCATCACCTGCAACGCGACGCAGGTTGGATCTCACAGCCTTCTAACATTTATCTAAACACAGAAAGCGAATTTTAATAGGAGACCCTGGGTTTTATTCTAAATAGTAAATACGTAATAAAAATCATAAAAATTCAGTAAGACGGACAACTCGGTGCATAGATATGTACATCAAAGAAGATCATTTTTCAAGGGGGTGAGAGACAGTGCAAAACAATAAAGCCACTGTGACAGATGATGAGTCAAACATTTCAACATCACCATAATGGCCCTCCACAATTATTATAGCTGCTCTAATTTGGGAGAGTCTTATACAGCTACCACATTGACTTACCACATATAAACATGACAAAACAATATTGGATTGCCACTTATTTCTTGACTTATATGAATAAATCTACTTAGAAAGTTTGAGGGCAATACATCCTTTTAAAGGTACCTACAAAAATATAAAATTAACGATGGAGTCAAATTTAATTCCGGTGTATATGCTCCTTAGACAGGCATGTATAACTGAAGCTGCTTTTGTCAGCAGGGCAAGGCTGGGGTGTTGGTGATGGCGGTGGTAGCACTAACGTCCGTGCAGATGACGCAGGCGCAGAGCTGGTCTGATCTCTTGCCCGCTATAACTCAACAAATAAACTCGTAAGTTTGTTTGTGTTCAGTAAGTTCGTAGTTGTTTTCCCTTATGTATTAGTTTATGCACTTTAGTTTACCATGAAATCAATTTTTATTGAGATCTGTATGGAATATTGCTGTGCTGCAAATCCGTTACATGTCAGGTCTGAGTGAGATGAAAATGAATCGTTTGAAATCATATCATACAAATTTCGAAAAATAACCCCCTACTTCATAGTAATTTAGATTATTTATCAATACCTATTTTTAAAATAATCATATGAAAATGTTGCTGCATTCAGTTATGTAAAATTTCTCTTCGCATTTAATCGTGCCAGGAAATTGAATCAATATGAATAATTTAAGGTACTAGTAACACATTTCTTGCCCTTAGGCTGGTCAATTTCCCATGACTATCACTTCACTAACTCGTAACAATGTCAGATGACATATCGTATTTGTCGTCAGGCTGTGGCAGAACAACAACTTGCAGTTCATGGGATCCGAGTGTAGCTACGTCCAGAAGCCGATAGTCAAGCGCTGGCAGCTATACTTCAATGGAAGATTTACTTGCAATAACTTTGCCGGAATAACAGGCAGAAGTAAGATTTATCTTTAGAGTGTTTTAGAGCATGAGGTTTCAAGAAAATGTTGAATATTTCTTATTATATACCTCATTTACCTATGAATAACTGCAGAAATATTGTCTATTGCGCATCATTTCATACTTGCTTCCTTGCATTGTAAGGAACCTATGGTCGTTGATGAACGGATTCCTATGTTGCCAAATGAATTTGATTTCTTAATGTTACACTGGTACACAATTGATCTCTTGATATTACTAATATTAAATAATAATGATCTATTGTAACTCATAATAATAATATTAGGAGTTACAATGAACAAAGTAATAAAGCCGTAATCGTTTCCAGGTGAAACTAGGAGTCGTTCAGGCGTCATGAGCGATGCTATAAGAGACTTCTTGAACAAGGCGCATGCGCAGGGCCTAGTTACCGAAGAGGCGGTCAGGATCTGGCTCCAGGGATTCTCTTAACTGAATCATTGACAAGAACCGTTCAAGAATTCACAGTAATAGCACAGACATTAGCCTTTTTTGGTGTCCAATGCTTTTTCATTTCATTTTCCGACAGAATACGCTAGGTGCGGTATTTCCCTTGCTTCATTCAACAGTACTTGTGACACCATACTACAATGATTTTTCACTATCGTTATCAGGATTTTTACGATGTGACGTAATTCCAAATAATTTTCTTCATATTCGAGTCCAGAGCATGTTCATTGTGGACAAGTATGCCGAAGAAAGAATGAACAAAGGACATAAATGAACTACTAATGTCGTCAATGCCTTATTGTAATGATAGTGAGGATATAAAACTTGACGTTTTACCAAATTTTTGGTTCAAACTTTCATGAAATACGTATAAATAACTACACTATGTATTACAACCAGAAATTGTTCCCAAAATTTAAAAAAAATTGTCCAAAATATCGATTTTTCGCGAGAATTTGGATTCATGTAGTAGGTATATTGATTGTATGTATGGCATCTGTCCGTCTCAAAAGTTGACGATTGCATCTCGAGCTGCTTGCTAGTCCCGACTCTGGCATGACTGCCTTGACCGCATTTAACATAAATAAAATCTCATGGTGCAATGACGTTCTGTGAATGCTTTCCGGAGACGACATTTGTCTTCGCTTCAGATATTATGAACGACCGTGATATTTCACGGTCTAATACCGGTTATACCATATCAAATAAATATATATATCAAATATATAATAAATAACTAATACCGGTTATACCATATCACGTCGCATGTCAGTGAAGTTATTAACGACATCTTGCACATCGAGCTATATGAACCTATATGACATCAGATGCTTTTTTAATTATAGGTCATTCGTGATGCATAAGACTTCTCGGGTTGAACTATTAAAACTGGATGTATTTTAACATCGCGTTATTTATTCCTTTAAGACACCTTCACCATTTATACTCCACGACAGTTGGTTGTTCTGAACTCAGTTCTCCTCAATCGTCCTGGCTGAGCCTGTTCTGGCCTTACATCATAACTCGCTTAATTACGCGTGCTGTTCCAGCAGTATGGCGTAGTGGCCGACTTCTCGTCTCTGATAAGTGGGTTTAGATTGGAAAGCCGTCAGAGATTGGCTTACGGAGTTACAAATTCTTATATTTTTCTGATTCTATAATGTTAGTTATGTTCAGTAACTTCTATTCATTTGATCCTTCTCTATTTAAACATGTAAATTACTTTGGAATGAATAGCATCATTTCAATTATGAAACAATCTGGTAGCCTACAGCTGTACATTGAAAAATTTCTTCGTTTCAATCTAATCAATGCAAGTTATTAAGCCGAAATTCGAATAAGAAATCCTAATTTTGAAACTAGCATGGAAGTAAATGCATGCTAAATTTCACGCTTCAGTTCATAACTTCATAGTTCTTTCCGTTAGCAAGCAAGCTAAATGGTATAGTTGCCCTTGAAGTTGAGGGCTTAATGCTAGAGATACCACTCAAGCATGCATGGTCCATTGGTCGTGCTGCATCTGGCTTAAGCAACCCCGACCAAACCTGTTCTGGCCTTACTTATACTCTCTTTGAAACATTTATCCAACCAAAACGAACCTGAGCGAATCTAACTTAACATAATTGGCTCCGGGCTGTTAGAGAGGCGGGAAAAGTGAGCAGGTAGAGTCATTCATTGGCTCCAAGAAGGTTGAGGGTTTGGGCAGCGTGAGTAGATTAGGCCAGTACAGGTTAGGTCCGATGAAGGACTGCCTGCTTATGAGCAATTGAGCATACTTGAGCGTTTGCTGTAGAGTGCAGACTTCGGCACTGTTAGCTGTAAGCAGTGCGTCTCTGGTCTGGCTTACCGTGTTCACAAGCTCAAACTTATCGTCAGTCTTGCATGCCATGCCAGGTTTAATTAACCGACGCTCAAAGTTTGACGTCTTGCATGACGGATGGGTGGAGTTTGAGGTTTGACAAACCTGGAAAAGACGGACGGGCGAGACCTTTGGGTTCATGCAAGACTGACGATAAGTTTGAGCGTGTGGACGGGCAACCGACTAATTGGTCAAACTTTTACTCTATGTCAGTCTATATTGATGTTGAGAGCTCTGACATTGTGCCGCGTTAGCTCGAGTTTTTCATATCTCAAGATATCCGACACTGGTTTGACGATTTCTTATGTGAGAGTATCGAATTACATCTTAGTTTTCCTTGTTTGTGGTAAATTCAATCAAAAAGCTGCAGTGACAAGAACAAGAGAGCACTGGCCTATGCGGCATTGATTGCTAAGTGAAAAGAAGTTGATCTTACAGCAAACAAAGACTTTGTTACGAAGAAAATAAACTCTTTGTCGAAAAGAATGGGCCAAAATGAAGTCGTCAATGCGGCATGGTGAGGGTAGGGATGCTGTCTATCAACCCTCATTGTGATATTTTTTTAAACCATTTTTTGGGACCACCTCGTACGTTTGCATCGCTTTAAAATTTAACCTAATTTTGGTGGCACAAACTGCGCAAAACTAGCTCCTCCATTGACGATAGCGCACTAGACTGAAGGAAAGTTTGAATAGTGTGGACGCTCATCAGTCTCCCGTATTGTCGGTCAAACTTTGGCATGACATGCACGACTGACGATAAGTTTGAGCGTGTGGACGGGGCCTTATGCTCTAAGGCTAAGAGTAGTTATTGGCTGTGCCCCAAATCGTATTATATAAAATGACCAGGCATGCGAGAAGAATCATCTTACTGACAAATGACTTCGGAGTGATTCAAATCCGGATATAATGAAATTATAAACAATGTTAGCCCAATCAAATGGTTTTTACGTATCAATAACATTTGAATGCTAAACGTATACGAGTACATCTGAGTGACTACAAATTACAACGAATCTAATTTCAGTTAGAAATAATTCTCATGAACCCTGATCGCAGCAGTCAAATGAAGCAATTCCTAGAACCAGGTTGATTGCGTGGACTATACGCTAAAAATAATTGCGCACTGCTTTGATTTGCACAGTGAAATTGAGCTTCTTTGGGCCTCATTGACTAACTGCGCAGTATATTCTCTGGGGTCTGCCGTCAATTTATTGAGCAAGCCAGATTGCTTATAATAATAAGCGTATAAGGTCTGATTTTTAATAATATGACACAATTGAATTGTATGGCTACTCTATTAAGATCCTTTTGAACTCAACCCATGCACTTCAGTGTAGCTTGCATTTCACCTCGTGGGCATCTATTTAGGAATTAAAATGTAAATTAGGAGCTTTATCTTTCACATATGTTGGAGAGCTTTGATGCACAAGCCCGTCCTTTACTTGAATGCCTTCTTTCAGCCCGTCCTCCTTTCATTGAATTACACGTCGGCAAAATCATTATCGAACATTGACTGCTCGTACGCATTAATGTGTTATAAGTATGACCAATTCGGTTCTCAGAAGCGCATTAAGTAAACATCCGTCGTTTAGAATGATATTTGTGCCTAAGCACGAACGCTTTTTCCTGCTGCACAAACCGGCATCAGTACTGAATATTCCTGCATAGTTTACCGCGCTAACCGCTTAGAGTTAGACCAATGATCGAACCTCACTGGTCGAGCGGCCTGAGGAGTGACAGGTTGGTGGTAACTGGTAGGTAGCATCTATCAGTGTTTTGATTTCAATTTGTATTGTTGAGAGTTTAGTATTTCATCTTGGTATAGGAAAACTATGCTATTCTTTTATATATAACCAATGCATGAGCATTAAAGGCCAGTGTTCATGTATTTGTCTATTTTCCCACTACGCTCCAGACAATTGTGCTGAACATGTTCCAAGCTATTTATTATAGTTACGAATATTTGCAAATCACCTTAGTTGCAAATATTTATGCAGTAATAAATTTCGGATTCAAGTCTCACTGTAACTACCGAACTAAAGTAAATAACGGATTAGATGTGATTGAGAGAATTCTCCGCGTGAGAAGATTCTACAGAAATATTTGCTTACTAATATTAACTGATTACAACATAAATTTTTCATTATTACGGTACTGGGATATATTGAATTTTTCATGGAAAATGTAAACTGTAATTAGAGTGCGTTAATGAGTATATTACTGTATTAAATTTAGGTTTGAGTATTTATTTATTTGTATTTTGCAGAATCGCTTCCCACGACATCCCGGTCTTCATCTCAGGAAAATTTTTCGTTAAATTATTCTCTTCTACTATGGTGAGGAATGTTTTTAATTTGAGTCTATTTATTTATTTATTCATTTTACTTATATCTGAAACTTTTTGAAATATTTGTAATCCTCACAAAGCAAGCAAAATCAAATCATTTCTTTAGTTTGAAGAGAAATCTTTTACTACTATGACAATTTTTTTGTCAAGAAATATCGCTAACTCTGAAGCTTTACTGTACGACTGTGTTTGTTGTAAAGCTTCACTGTATAACAAACAACTGTGCAGATGATAACTGAAGCTGCGTTGTTCTCAGGGGAAGGCATGCGTGTTGGTGTTGCTTGCGGTTGCCGTGATATATGTGCGCAGCAGACGCAGGCACAGAGCTGGTCTGATCTTATACCCGTCGTTGTCGGACGACTTTCCTCGTGAGTTTTGCTTGTTGATTTGGGTTTGTCTAATTTGAGATTAAATTTTATTAGTTATGTAATAAAAAAACAAATTATGTAAATTAGTTTTTTACATAATTTTGATGTCATATGTGGTAGAATGGACAATTAATCATGGCTTTGAATAGTTTGTGAGTACGAGGAATTCGAGAATCGAAGGATTTGTTCTTAGAATCGAAAGATTCTAAGTCACGAGAAAAAAACTATTTTCATTTGATAAGAGATACAAAACGGGTAATGATAAGTTCGATTATACATAATTATTAGTTACCAAAGAAAATTTCTGTAATTGAAATTAAATACCTAAATATATAATTATAATATTTAAAAAATTTATAACTTGGGCTCGAATATAAAATCAGAAGTGAATTTAGCCTTAATTTGTGTTGTTCATCTTCCGCAATTTTGCATTCATTTTTAACAGCTAAAATTCCGCTATAATAATCATTTGAACGTCAATTATCCACATGAAGACATGATACCAGATTGTGGCATGAAATTTGTCGCCAGGCTGTGGCAGAGCAACAACATGCAGTTCATGGGCTCAGCCTGCCATTACAATCGGAGGCCGAAAATCAAGCGCTGGCAGCTTTACTACGTTGGAAGATTTACCTGTAGCAACTTCGCTGGCATCGAAGGCAGAGGTATAATTACTTTTTTTGCTGTAATAATAATAAGATAATTGCATAACTTGAGATATTACACTTGTTCTTTAAGTGATCTAAATATAAAAGTAATCAATTATCAATCTCATCTATCGTTGTACTATATGTACATTGTGCAATGTACATACTTACAGCTGAATGGGGCAGCTAATCTCACCTCAAGTGTCGTAAATAAGTACAATTCTTTTCATATTAAAAGAAACACACAGACATTGAGGGAAATTCTGCGAAATGTATTTGCAATGTATTTCTAACTTGTAACAAAATACTCTGTATAGTGGAATGAAGAACATAGAAGCTCAAAAGAAAATATTGACACGTAAAAACTATTTGTAAAATAATTCTATTAGACTACACGATTGCTGCAATTGTACCGTTTCTTGATCGAAATTTACCGAAAGTGAAAAGTATTCTAACACAAATGCCCTGTTGTACTTAGATGTTTAGTGGTAATTAAAAATTAGAATCAACAGGGATTGCACTCACAATCCTAGTCTGGGGCCATGATACCAAGACTCGCTTGAGTGCACGGAGCAGCCTAAGTAAACACGTAGCGGGCGGTTTCTCGTCTAGGATTGGTGAGTTTAGCTTTAAAAGCTTTCAGTGATATGCTAACGGAGTTACGTATTCAGAACTATTTTT